CTGTAAAAATCCAAAACATATTTAAAATAGATGTTTCTAGATAAAATAGACATTAAAACTTCTACCACAGTATTAAAACAATTCATATATACAGATCAAAAAATGATATAAACTGTGTAAACTATTACAGTACAAGAATCTGACCAGAAGATGGCACTGTTCATCAACAGTGCAACGGAGCCACAGAAAAAATTCAGGGGGCATGTTCATGGGATCTACAATCTTGTGGATTTCATTTGGGAAAATGTTGAAAGATCCTTTTGATGTATTGTCAAACCATTTTTTCTGTGAAAGAAAAAAAATACGCTTAACATAAGTACATAGAACTCTTGCTCAAATCAATGCTGTACATTTTGATGCTCACTTTATCCTGAAATCTGCGGTGGAGTCTGGCAACTCTCTCCTCCTGGTCTCTGGCAGCAGTAATCCCAAAAGTCCACTCACAAACATGAATGAGCTATAAACTGTGATAGGAGCAAACCAGTGGTACGTGGCCAGCATGTTGACCACTGGAGATAGCAGGCCCCCAGCACGGTTCGCAATGTTACCCAGACCAGAGGCAGATTGTCTGAAAACACAGTATAGTCATTAAGTCTTATTTATTTTATATTTTGTATGTTCTATGAAATATTCTGGATGACCTCAAAGCAATTAACAGTTACCGAAGAGATGTTGGGACCAGCTCCTGGATATAAACACTGCAAGTGGATCCTGCCATATTTGAGAAAATGCGCCCCAATGTGGCAAACAGTGTTACATAAATAAGTTTTTCTGAAAGCACATTTGAACAATAATCACCTTTTGATAGACTTACAAATGAGAAGCAGTGTATTCTACCTTGGCCCACTGCGATGATGAGGAGGCATGAGAGACTCCCTGTTAACAGTGTGGTGATGAGGCACACTCTTCTCCCTACAGCCTCTAAAAGCCAGATACACAGCAGGTGAGCTGGCAGCTCAGACGCACCAAATATGAGCTGTGTCAGGAAAATGTTCAGGCCCAGGTTCCCCACGTTAAACGAGAGGCAGTAGTATGTAAGGTTTAGAGAGAACCTAAAACATGGGAGGATCAGTAAACGTCAGACCAGATGTTGGAGGATTGTGTTGATTTAAATTGTCATGGTGTCACTCACCATGCCAGAATAATTGGAAAAAGATACTTTATGAGCACAGGTGATTTGAGTATAGTTAAAATGCCTCCTTTTTGCTCAGTTTCTGTCTCCACCACAACCTGTAATAAACAGGAAGTGGACAAAATAGGACCAATGCTTGTCCTATTGAAAACACTTGTACTGTATCTCTAATCATTTAATGGACACCTGAACAAAAACATATCTGTACATTTCATCATATATTATGTGAGTTTATTTAAGTGTATTCAAAGGCCATATTTACACAGGCTGGCAAAAAGAGCTAATCATAAAAGGATGCAGCGAAAATGACATTATAATCACATTCAGTAAAATCAGCCTTGGTATACTATTCTGTTGCTGTAATTGTAAATATCTTTATCTTTTTATTTGTGAGCTGCATGACAACTGGTCTCATATTTCAATAGGCCTACCTTTTGGAACAGAGAATCTGGGATGGTGCTTTTATTGATGGCTGCTGCCTTCTTTAACACCTCTCTAGCCTCTTTCACCAATCCTCTGTCCAGTAACCACCTGGCTGACTCCGGGATATACCTGCCAAAAACACAGTACTTATTATTTGTAGACTTTACACGAGACATAACAAGGGCTGAGATGAAAACACACCATATGTATATTGCCATCACTCCCAGAGGGGCTGCCGAGATGAGCTGAGCCAGTCTCCAGTCTCTGACGAAGTAGATCACTCCAGCCATGACACATAGACCAATGGCAAAAAACACCTGAGTCACACAGGCACCCCAGGACCTCTTGGATATGCCAATCCACTCTGTGGCTATAAAAGCAAAATATTTCATTGTAAAAGTAGAAAGGCCAAAAAGATTTTGTTTAGTTGAGGTGTACGTTACCCATTATTATAGCATTCATCCGAAACCCTCCATAGCCGACGCCTACCATAAACTGGGACAACAAATACAGGTTGAAATCAGGACTAAGTCCAGTTACAGCTGTAAAGATGAATACAAGAACCCCTGGGATCTGGGTGGCTCGCTTACGACCAAATCTGAAACATAAGTTCAATATTGTTAGTATGCACAAATGTCACAATTGTCAAAACTGATAGCTTGATTAATTTTAAATGTATGATTTTCAAATAATAATGTATAAAATGCTGACTTTAAATAAATCTATTATGCTATTGTTTTCCAAAACAATAATTTGAGGTCTTTCAACATACACACACATACATGTTCAGTAGATTAACTAAAAATCCAATAATTTTCTTTGGATTAACTGGTAAATGACACTAAAAACCTACAAGTCTTTTCTAGTGAGTGCCTGTAAATTAGAAAAAGATTTTGTGCCCTGTCACAAGTGATTACAAAAAAACTTACGATTCAGCGAATGGTCCAAATAAAAGAGACCCAAAAAGCACACCAGTCATCAGCACTGTCTGGGCCACCTGCACCAGATTGGACCTCCCACAGACTAAATCAAACTGCAAAGATACATTTAAAACAATGAGGATATGACATTCAACAAAGCAATTAATCAAGAGTCTCAGCTTACATCTGTTACTATAGTGGCTTCATACTGAGTGTTTTGGTACACCCAGCCATTGTCACACGCTATTGTCTTGTTCAGCCCATAGGTCCTTATGGCCTCAATGCTCCAGTCCACAGGGGAAAACATTAGACAGCGGCTGAAAGTCCCATCTTCTTCACGGGGCAAGGTGAGGTTAAGCTGCTCCTCTGCAGTCAGGTTAGGGTCAGCTCCCAGTATCCAGTTTGTGTTACAGTGTCTCTGCGGGTCTGATTCGACAAATACCACAGAGGCAAAGTGGAAAGGAAGAATTATATTTGGAACACATAGAGCAAGGAGCAACACTTTCTGAAACAAGCCAAACTCTCCAACACTTTGCAGTATTTTCCCAAAGTCAGCCATTATTAGAAAGCAGAAAGGCAGTGTCCAGACTCCAGCACTTCTTGGATGAACTTTATACAATGTCTATTAATGTTTAACCCCTTCTCTACATTGTTAAAGAATTACTGAATGGACAATTCAGAGTTTTAATTAAATAAGTCCAACTGCCAAGCATCTGACTACCCCTGCACTGTATTTCAATGTACCCTTTAAGGAGAGATGGGCCTTATTTTATCAGTGCAAGCTCCTCCTGCAGAACTGCCCTCCTGAAAAGTTCAGTTTTATATTACAGGGGAAAATAAACTTAATATGATCTTACATAACAACTACCTCTGAACAAAGACTCAGTATCAGCTGCGTACTCTAATGTCCCTTAACTTATATGGCTCTGTAACTGCCATCTATAATCTTTTGTTACACAATTGTTATGGCATTGAACTCATAGCCTCAACTTCTAATTGCTTTATTAGAATGGAAGCCTTTATAGTTTTCTCCATGCAGGACTACATATTGTTTTAGGGCTGCACAATATATCACAATACTGGTGAATGCAATAATCCATACACTCCATAAACTACTACATATAGGTTATCAGACAAAAAAAAAAAAAAGATCAAGTCAGATTTTTTTCCCTTGTTTTGATTCTGGTTTAGTTTTTATTTGATACAGTTTAACTAGTAAATTAAAAAAGGTTTTGTAAGAGGTCTAATAGGGTACAATAAATATCACAATAATATTGTTATCGCACAGTTAATGAATAATGCATTCCTATTAAATCAATTGCACTAGTATACTTTTCTCATGTTGTAAACAAAAAAATTAAAAATAGCCTGCATCCAGATTACAGTGCTTTTGGGTTTTCTTTATTATATCCTGTTTGGTACTACTCCTAGACTACTGTTACCAGGCCTGGCTTGAATCCAGGACCGACTGCTTGAAAGATGAGATAGGCCGCCACCCTTTGGCCATCACTGCAAATCCTACACTAATTTAAAGTAAATATGAAAGTACATCTTTGGCAAGAGAATACATTAATAAGTAAATAAAGTATTACTTGAGTAGTGGTTTACACAATCGTGAGTCTGGCTGAAACCGGAGACTTTCAATAAAAGTCAACATCAGAGTGCCTCAGCCCTAGTTGCAACATGACTAGAGATTAAGGTGAGGAGGGGCCCTTGTTTGAAATACATGCAGGCCTTTGTATTGTTTAACCAGACATAACAAACTGCTAGTGTGTAAATGCCTCACATGACACGTTTTTTCTTTTGTTGTTATTGAAAGATAACTGCTGTGGAAGTGCATTGAAAAAAATCTATATTATTATTATTTTCCTTGATACTACTATTTCTCCTGCTGCTGCTGCTATTACGAACTACTCTACTTTTACCATCAGATCTATTTTTTATTAATTAAACATTGCATTTATATAGCACTTTTCAAGATATCCAAAGTGCATTCATTTACTCAACACTTAGTGGTGATAAGCCACAGCTGCCCTGGGGCAGACTGACTGGAGTAAAATACTGATTGAGACTAAAATAAGTTGTTAGTTTCCACCTGTGCTCATTCAGAAAGTAGAAAGAAGTAATGATTTAGTTGTGCTAATTTTCACAGGTAGAAGAATTATAATTTCTACCAAGAAGGTCCTGGTTCACTCATGGAGTTTGCATGTTCTGCCTGTGCCTGGGTTGGGTTTCTCTGCCAATCTCCATCTCCAGTGGCCTCTCCAATCACCACCAACACTCACGCACACACTACATTCATACTAGACAATGTGAAGAGTCTTGCCTAAAGACACTAACATTTTTTTTTTTTTTTTTTGCCATAAGCACCTTGCACATGATATTCCCAGCCCTGATTATCTTAGAAATCTGATAAGATCAGACTTTGATAAGGGTGTACAATGCAACAAGTTGTAAAAATTTAAATAAAGCAAGAAAAATGATAATGGACAGGGATAAATAAATAAAAGTCAATGGCAAACAAGTTGAGAGCACTTTTTCTTATTTACAATTAAAATGATTTTATCTGGACATGTACACTTCAACATTACACACAAACCTCATGGTGTGGGTGTGACAATGCAGTTATAAACAGTTATGACATCTTTACATAAGTCAGTTTACATTTGTACCTGAACAAAGGGGGCGCATTAGAGACAGTCTTCATGTATTTTAACAGCCAAACTGGGAGCAACATTGTACAAGTGTTTTCTCTTTAATTTAAAAAAAGGCCTTTCTACCCAAACTGCAGAACTTAATGTCTTAAAGAAACTGTTCAGCCAAGAGAAAAGGGGAAATAAACCTGGAACACAGATGGTTGAAAAGAAATGTATGTAGTGTTTTCAGTCATTACCCATTTGATCAGTCAATGCTGCTAGTTTGTCAAATTCAAATGTATCCAAAAAATATGATTGATTAGTTATTATTTTAATAACTGATGTTACACATTACTCTTGTCACAGAGTTGTAACAAACATTCTGATGAACAAATATACCAATTTTGTTAGCACTATGAACTAGGCTTCATTTTTATACTTTTGGTTCAAACCGTTTCATTGACCTGTTGTTCTGGTTTGTTTTACATTGGTGAGCATGCACTTCACCTCAGAGGTTCAATAATGTAAAAGCGTTCAAAAACAAAGTGTCCAAAACACCAGCATCTCCATCAGCATTCAGGATCCTCTCAGCTTTTAAAGACCAAATAGGCACTCCCTCTTATTAGGTTGATCAGAATAAAAAGATATTTGTGTTAACCAAATGCTGCAAGAGGTTCACTCTTCCCATACCTTAGCTGATACAAGCAGAGATAGATATGTTAAAATGTTTTCAGTCCCAAAAAGATGTTGCTACAGCCAAGAAATTAACAGAAAAAGAAAGAAAAACAACTTTGCATAGTACAAGGATATGGACCAACCACCTGTGAATAATACTTTTAAAAAACCCAGAAACCTAAAGCCTGTTGATAACGGCCAGTCGTTGATATCTGTTACGGTACATGCACTGATGCTGAGGGGAAAATTCATTGCACTGCAACACTGCTCTTCATAAAGATACAATCTCTTTAATTAAAATCAGAGCTGAAATTTAAAGACAAGTAAATAAAAGTTCCTAGTGCGCAGCTAATGGGTATTACTCAATCTACACCCATTAAATCAATCACACTAGAAAAATTTAATTTGTTTGACTAAGGCGGATATTACACTTTTTTTTTACTCAGTGTAGCATAAAGTGCCATAAAAAGCTGGCACGATACTTGTGTGGCACTGTTACTTTAAAATAATAATAATAGTAAAAGAATAATAAAGGCAAATCACTTCCAGTACTGGCAGCAGATGGATTGTGCTCATGAAAGAAACAAGGAAGCAATTACAGCTAAAACAAAACACAATAATAAGTGGATATAGTTGATTGCATCTCTCTCCCCATTTGTAAGCGCACTGTAAACGTTCAAGTGTGGTTCCTGTGTTTGAGCTGTGCCCTGTCCGCATGGACCTCAGACTGCAGTAGCGCGTCACCGCTGCCAGCTTTGTAAATCCTCTCGCTCCTCTTCACTCTTTGGCAGTAGTGGTTTCTTGGAATTGACTACAATGCAGCTGTGCAATACCATCGGTTACTGTCCGTGGTGCTGTTTACAGTTTAACTGATGCTGAGCTGAGCAAATCCAATGAGTTTAATGTCGTCCGGGATTTCTGATTCCTCCACACCAGAGGCCTGTGCAACAAATAAAACACTTGAAAAAACTAATCTCAAATATAGTGCAAATTTCAGGCAAGATTAAATGTGATCCTGTTGTGGGACATTCTAAGTAAAACACAGATGTTCAAGTTTTGGGGTAAATGCATTTTCTACAAATTCGTAGCACTGTTCTTTGCATCAAAAAGCTGGATGCTATGACAATTGCTATGTTACTGTCCTTCTGTGGATTTGACACTCTTTCAGTATTACAATTAAAATTAACAGTTTATATTTCCTTCGCTTGTTAAGGTTGAAATAAAAAGTGATGACATGATCATAGATAATATTAATATTAACCAGGCAGTTTCTCATGTACTGTACACATATACACAAATGTATATTTTTATGGTAATCCACGTCATATCTTTTGTATAACAAATACAGAGTGGGATTTACCAGTTTGAAGGTCACATTTTTGTTACTGTGAGGGTCATCAACAATCTTTTGCAAATTGGCTGCAACTGGAACATAAACAGAAATGAACAAAATGTTATTGAAGAAAGTAAACATTTTTAAAATCCATTATTACCGCTTTGCAGTTACATACCAATAACTAGATCCCTCCCATCCACCAGTCCAGCTGAAACCAACTCTTGAGAAACCCCGTCTGCGGAGTCTGTACAAAAACAAAACAATATATTTCATTATTGCTAGCCTCTCATAGACAAGTAAAGCATTAACAGGAGAAAAGATGAGCCTCTGTACCTCTGCCGGGCATAAAGTCAAAACGAATGTCATTCAACTCCTTCTTGGGGTTTCTCAGTCTAAGCACAAGACTGATGGAAACACTAGCATTGGCTGCACTGGGATCCTGTAAAAGGAGACAATAAGAAAACTATGTGAGCTTTGTGTGCTTGGATTTTTCATAGAATATTCTGTTGGTTTGTTTCTTTACTAGGAAACATAACATGAGAAACACAACTGAAAATGTTAATATTTGTGCAATATGGGCTAGTGCAATAACTTTGATAACTTGGTTATACTGTGCACAAAAGAGAAAATATAAATTAATACTGGACACATGTATCTTGTAATGAGCTCTGACTGTTGTCTGACTGTACTGTATGTGTGAGTGTTTTTAAGATGCAGGCAGTAAGTCCAAGACAAATTTCCCCTTTGGGACAATAACATTTACCCTATATTAATTGTTAAATTACAATGATATAAGTATCAACATCTATCTTGCATTTTAAATGTTAGTAGTTAGTTAATAAACCAAAAAGCTGTAGAGTAGGGTTGCAATCAGAATAAACTTGAGTAGTCGACTAATACAGACATCGCTGATGTACAGGCCCTCAAAATCGCGATTGTTTGCAAGGAAAAATAATAGAGCGCAAGAAATCCATGAAGAAAAATAGCCCTCGCCAGTTACTTCGTTACTGGCTCGAGCCAACTATACCATTCAAAAATATTCTCTATCTAGAAGCCTTTTGTCTGTATAGTTTACCTACTTTGGAAATTTATCCAATAGAAGCAATGGACTTCAAAAGAAAATAAAAATAAAATCATTGACTAGTTGACCACTAGATAAACTACAAAAAGTTGCAGCCCTTCAAGCGAGCCTCAAATGTAAGAGAGTAAGATCACTTTACAGAGTATTGTAGTTTTACCTGTATGGTGGGAACATGTGAGGGGCTTTGTGTGTTTGCAGGAGGCTGTGGAGCCAGAGAAGGAGTATCCTCCACAGACTGTCCCACATTCACAGGAGCAATCACAGGGCTCTCATAGGTTGGACCACCAGGCTGTAAAAGTCCTGTGGCGCCATCTGTTGGCTGGAAAATCTAGGCATAAGGTGCAATGATTCAGAGACTAGTTAAAAGTGTAAAATGTCAATGAAGGATGACACAGGACAGTCATGCAGATCAGATTGTAAAGGATTTGAGGTCATGTCCACTACGAATACACTCACCTCCATGTTCTGGGAGCCGTCCTTCACTCTGGGAGACTGCAGATTGGACATGACAGACAGATTGTGAGGATTACAAACATGCAGATCCACTTTGTATCCCCCAAAACACAGACCAAAGAGTATGAAATTAAAGGAATTTAACACAGTTCAAATATATACAGCGTATGACAAGATCACATAGGACAGTACATCCCACACCCAGATGTGAATTATCCACCAAAACATATACTGGCTACAAGGGAGAAATGAAAGGTTCTGTCACTTTTATGCTATAAGTGTCAACATGTACCATCTACCTCGAATAAACACAGTGAACTCATAAAACATGTTGGTGTCCCACTTTTATCTATAATCAAATAATCTTTCATTGTATGATTTTTTTCTTTTTTAGAATTCATGTTAAAATGCAATGTAATTGAACAGGAAAAACTGCCTTTTGCCCACATGTGAATGTAAGACAGCATGAAAAAACTGACAAAAACCACAAACACTATTCAAATAAATCATGTCACCGAGTCTGACTTGGGTGACTTTAAATACCACTCTCCTGGCACAAAAATATGCTTTACAAACATCTGTTTTAGTGACCTAGTATTTAAAATGGTTATTTTCTAAGAGAAATTACATAATAAGATACACCAAAAAAACAACAACCACAACAACAACAAAAAAGTGTTCTGGTCTCACCCTTAGAGCAGCCACTGCAGCTTTGCCTTCCTCACTTTCTTCGTCCAGCTCATCATCACTCCACTCCCAACCTCCATCCTCCGTTTTATGGAGACGGCCACTAGAGCCTGGTACACGGCGCACCTAAAAGCAACACCGTATTCTTGGTCATTTATATAGCAAAAGGGCTGGAATCTTTACATATCTGCTTTGCTTTACTAAAGCAGACCTTCTTTGATCGCTCCGTTATTGTTGGCCCTTTATGGAGAAGCCTCTCTTGCAAGTATTCATTGTTCTGCAAAAAAATTTTAAATGTGGAAACATGTCTCTTTGCTTTAAAGTAGTCAACTCACCTTAGCTTTAGTGAAGAATTTGTGCTTCAATAGCTCAGCAGCTGTTGGCCTAAAAATATTAAGGTGAAAATATTTTAGATTTTTTTAATAGATCGACAACAATCAACATTTAATCACAAGCTATGTATGTACCTACCTTTTTTCTGGATCCTTTTGTAAACACAGAGAAAGCATTTTCCTGAAAGACTTGCCATACTTTTTTACCATTTCCTTATCTGTGATTCCAGTCTCAAGGCAAGGTGGATCATTCTGCAATGTCAGCATTAGCACCTATAGACACAGCAACAAATGAACATAAACAAGTTTATGCCGAGACAATATGAACAAAGTATGAAATTTGCCATATAAATTTTGTTAACCTTCATTGGTGGGTATTTGTGATATGGTGCAGCTCCAGTTGCTAACTCAATAGCAGTGATACCAAAACTCCAGATGTCAGCTTTAAAGTCATAACCACGTACCTTAAGAAACAGGACTTATGAAAGTTATGAAAGTGGTATAATATGTAATAAAGCAGAACTGAGGTGTGTAAATTTGACTATTTTCTGACCTGCTCCATGACCTCAGGTGCCATCCAGCATGGCGTACCAACAAATGTTTTACGAACTTTGTTCCTTGTCATGTCTCCTCCAGTTGCTAGAAAGGCACTTACACCAAAGTCTGAAGCACACACATTTTGCAAGATGTTTGAGGACATCAATATACAATATTTGTTGGGTGAAAAAAAAACAATATGTGAAATAAATGAAAAGTAGAAACTACCAGCAATTTGCACAGAGCCATCCTCCCCGAGTAGAATATTTCCAGCTTTTAAATCCCTTTGCACAAAGAAAGAGAGGATTAAAATGTGATGTAAAATCAAAGTGCCACACTCCAGCACCAGGGGAGCGGCCAGAACAAGATCAAACACTCTGTGCTATCACACTGAAAAGAACCTTCAATACAGAAAAACAGGGCACGTGAATATATACTAGTGTAAACTACATTCTCCCCTTAGCAAATGTTCAATTAACTGCAACTAATGTGATGTTGTGCAAATAAACAGTGCAAATTGTTGTGCAAATGTAGTGAAATGTATTCTTCTTTGTAAACAATATTTAGCTATCCTATTTTTCATAATATCAATGACAAAATAATAAAATCAAATGGCAAGTGTGAGAACTAGGCTTCTTTAGATTAGTAAAACTAAAAATAAATAAATTAATAATAATTTATTAGTAATACTAATTAATAAAAGAAACCATTAACAAAAAGAACCAAAATACACTGCCATGCACAAGTAAATAGCATTGCTCAAGCTGTGCATAATCATAATCAGACATTAGTCTTCAGCTGAGACCTCACCGATGAATCTGCCCATTTTTATGGAGGTACTCCAGCCCTTCCAGAACCTCCTTCAGAATTGTTGCAATGCTGGCCTCATCCAACACTCCAGTCTTATGCTCACCACGAGAGATGATATGCTTAATAATGTCCAATACAGAGCCTGAAATACCGTCAAAACTAAATATTAGATTAGCAGATGACTAAAAGAAACAACAAGAACCTGTCACATACTGTAGAATGAGGATATTTTTTCTTTCAGACCAAACTAAAGGAATTACAAGGGATATAACAAATGAGGTGAGGTTACAAACCACTTACCGCCACTGAGGAGCTTCATCACAAGCCATAGTTCATCTTTCACCACAAATGATGTGTAATATGACACAATGTTTGGGTGATGGCACTGACTCATTGCTTGGATCTCTTTCTGTAATAACAACAAAAACCTTCAGTATAGTAGTTGAGGAAGTGTAATAGTTATAGCTGATGACGGTTGAAATCCATTACCAGAAGTTCATCCATGCTAGTTTGACATTTTTCCAGGTTGATGCGCTTGATAGCCACCTTCTCCTTCCGGGGTTTGCAAAAAGCTGCTTGGACCACTGCTGTGGCTCCACTCCCTGCCACAGAATGACACCCCCACAGTTAAGAACCAAAACAAGTGAAGGCAAATCTTAAATAATATGCAGAAAAACAACAGCACTAACATATTACGTTAAAAAAAAAGTGACTGACTGTACTAAAGGCATCCTTAGAAAACCCTAACATAACATAGAAAGATATGCGAGAACGTAAATTGGTAATTTGAGCCATTTATAATAGTTGAATCATTTAGGAACGACATACCATGATAGTCTGATAGTCTGATAGTCAGATAGCCAGCGAGCCCCCCAGTGCTCTGCTAACATAGGTTAGCTGTCCTGGGTGAATGGTGATTTACCAGACAACGAGTTCTTTTAGTTTAGCAAACACTAAACTCGGACATGTTTGGCTTAGGTTGAGAATAAGAAATATCTGGTGCCATTACGTTTTTCTTATTAAAGCCACGTGTTTAATTTGGCCTTATAATGGCAGACGTTAATTGCTAGCAGCAGGTAGCAGTCGGCAGCCTACAGTACTGTGCGGATACGGAGCTAACATTAGCAGCTAAGCTACTCACCTATAACCTCGTTCAGTTCATAGTCATCTTTGTCGATAGACCAGGATTGGGATGTCTGGTCTTCCGCCATGGTGTCGCAGTTTGTTCGGTGAAAGCTACAGATTAAAATAAATTGGTGTGGATTTTAAATTCTGTATCAGTCCTCCATTAGGCTCAGATGCTGCTGCTGTCACTACCGCTGCTGTCAACACAACTTTACGCGCGATTGACGTACTGTACGTAACCTACGTACGTAGGCTCAGAAACGTGGTGGCGCCATCGTCAGTTTGTTTCAGGATCTGCACAGGTATGCAGCGCAGCTGAACAATTTAGATATTGTGGCCAGTTAATACTGAAAATTACCTTTTATTTACCAAGACAACAGTGAAAAGAATAAAAGAGGCTTGAGGAAGAAAAGTGAGAAAACTTCTGTGATGAGATGATATTTAGTGCAATAACACGAGTCAGTGGATGGCAGTATTATGTGGAAAGAGTTGACATGTTCGGGCGTGTTGCCCAAATAGTCTTTAGTACGTTTATTAACATAATTTAGGGTTCTATTGTGTAATTGAATACAAACTCCGTTTCATCACTGTGCTGAGCTTAAGCTTCTTCATTATTTGAAAACTCCCCATCAGGGGAAGTATGTGAAACACATGCTGTGTAAACTTGCCTGCAATACAGAAAGAAAAAAAAGAACCTAGGTTTTAGCATAATTAACTAATTATTTTGGTAAAAGATCTCTACCAATGAAGATCTCACTATTGGATACCGCTCAAGTGATCTTAATAAAGTTACCCATCAGTTTAAAAAAAAAATCAATGTGATGTCAAATTACATAATATTTCCTCAAACAAATTAACTTCTCAAGTGTGTTTCTTTAAACATAATTGGCTTCTCATTGTGTCCCAGTTGTCATTGGGAAATGAAAGTATAAAACGTGTCCACCCAATAGATTGCTTGGGAACCTGAAAGACCTGAAAACTGTCTTATGTTTGTTTAGCAAACTCTGGAAAAAAAATAAATAAATTTTGCCTCTGGCCATGCAGATTTCCATTCCTTCAATAAGGTCTCACTGTTAGGTCCATATACCCTACCATACAATCATATGGGAGATGAAATAATTGTCATAATCTCTCATCAATTTATTAGAGCAGGTCCTATCCATTGGTATATAAAACACACAAATATAATATAAACAAAAGCTGGTCTTTTCTTTCTGGCCTGTCTATGTCTAGCTCATGCGTGCCCATAGTCCATATGTGAGAGGTTGTCTCTTGCCCGGAAGCTCTGGACTGCTCCTGCATTAAAGCTCACTCATCCTGATGCTGACAGGGCTCCCAGTTTAAGCCAGCTCTGAAAGGGAAGTGCTGAGAGCCACAAGAGCCAGAGCGCCACAGTGATTGCAGTACTATTATTCCACCAAGGCTTGCCATGAAAAGGAAAGCAAAAACTTCATCTCTCTTCCCTCCCTTCATTGTAACTAATATAGTCAAATCTAAAATAATTAATCTGGGGCTGGGCTGCAGGCCAACTCAACCAGGCAACTTTCTTAATCTTCAAATGTTTTAAGTTACAAAGAAGCATTATGCTGCATAACGCAAATGTTGTCTAAATAGTGAAAGTCACCTCTAGTAAGCTGTTTGATAAGGTTAGTTAAGGTTAAAGTTGATATATTTTGGCTGAATATCAGTACCTCCGTCAATTCACATGTTTCATATTTGTAAGGAACTGGCTAATTGGTTAATCCACGTTGGCAAGTTGTATAAAGGAACAATTTAAGAGTGTTCAATTCTGTGCGTGTCCTTAACAGATCCATGGTGTCCTTATTCTCAAATAGTAGTCTGATACCCTTGTCCCAGCCCACACGTCGCTCAGGTGAATGTAGCCCAATGCCCTGTCGTGACATCACACGCACGGCTCGTTTGCCAGGCTCGTCAAACCGGTGTTGAAGCTTTCACAGTTCGGACCAGAGGAAGTGCGTTGTGCTGAGCGCTGTTGTGGGATCTTTTCTAAAAAGTTGCCCTAACCAATTTGAATAGCGCTTATGGAAAGAAGAAACTTACATTGGTTAAGGGGAGTTCAAATACACTGATTTACCCACGAAAAGGAGAGAAATGGAGACCAGTGTGAACGAGAAACAACCAGGTAGGCCCAGACTGACTGTTCCTAGTTTTAAATACTGGATTATAAAATTGTCTTTGAGATTGTACTTACCTTTGAAGATTGGTCAAGCAGCTATCAGAAGGTTTCTTCAACGTGAGTATCCTGGCCTGTAGTCGATACCGCATGAGTATTCATTGCTGGTGACATTTAGGCCTGAAATTATTTCTTAAAGGTTCATGAGTGTTTTGTGAGCCACAGTGGTTTTACTAACTTTACCCCGTTGCCAAAGGCGTGGCCACACTCATCGTCTGCTTTTTTTTTTTTTACCTGTTGCACTGATTGTGTTACCCAGTCATGGCAATGCAAAGCTGTATGTTTTTTTTAAGTTACTGGGATTTAGATGATAATTTTGCACATATTTCCAAGACCGGAGTAAATTTTGGACATATGCGACGCTGCTGCACTTAAGGTGATCCAAGTTCACAATGCAAATCTTATTTGGCTATGGTTGTTTATCGATGGTCTACCACTAGGTGGTGTAGTTATGTCAATAGTCACGCGGCGTAACTTTACACCATGGATCTATCGTGTGTACGCACAATGATTCTATTAAAATAACGCACACATTTATTAGCTAACGTTATTTAAGAGGAGGTATTCACATGTTAAATTCAAAAGTCATGAGCAGGCAATTCCCCTTTATACATATTGTCTACAGAAACTGACGATGATTGTCAATAATGCATTTTCTCCCATCTTGTTGAACCCACATGAACATATATTTTAACGGCTGCCCTGATAAAATAAAGAAATTAAATCCAATTCAATCAAAGTAGAGAGAGAGTATGCATGTCTAAATCAAATCAAATCGATGCTACTTAAATTAAACAAGAACTGTCATCCAACAACCTTAGCTACAGTCATTACTAAAACATTTGAGCGAGTTGGCGCGTTCATGATATTTACCAGGATTCCAAATAAATTTCCTGTTTACCTGACAAAAATGATTTTAAAAACAAAAGCCAAGAGACAAAATTTAACAAACCTGAGAGTGAACTTTGACTTTTATCGGGGGCCGTTGAAGCTACGCCTTCCTCGTATTGCGCATAGTCACTTTGCGTTGGGAACATACAGAAGTTCATTGAGCACTGAAGTCTCTGAAGGCACTATGAGTTGCTTACAAAGACAAGATAGACCAGGCAGATCTCAGGAATTACGACACCACGTCGCGAGCAGAAAAGTCATTCAAGTGAATGTGAAGCTTCTAGGTATGCTGCCTCTTGGCTGAAATCTATGAATGTTTGGGACTCCGCCAATAAGGACTACCTGGATTAGGCTATGTGCAGACGGATGATAAAGCTCTTTCATTTGACATGGTTATTGTATGTGCAATATTTCAGGTTTGGAGGGAGATCCAGAACTTCAGTTTCTCCTTCAGGGTGGAGACCTTCTCAAAGTTCGCTCCCAGTCCTGGAAGAAGACTCGATATTTCAGGCTCCAGGAGGACTGCAAAACCATGTGGCGCGAGTCCAAAAAACCCTTCAGGAAAAACCCCACCTGTGAGTGCATCCCTGGCAACCAACCTGAGTCTTGCAGTGGTTGTAACAACTCAGAAACATGTACAAAACTTTTATTCTTTTGACATTACAAGTATATATGGCCTGTACTGTATAGTACACAAATGACTATTAACTCAAAGTTAACAGATCATACATCAATAAAAATCCTTGCTAAAAAGATAATTGTATGTAAGAGATAAGATATGGAGATTTGTGTTTTAAGGAGTGGTTTAAAATAGCTTAAACTTTCCCCTGGGACCGAATCCAAAAGGGCTGTCGTAGTAACACATTGATAACCGAGTTACCTTTGCCGCCCAAGCAGCTGAATCTGTGTACTGTTTTAAAAATGTGTTTGTCAGATAGTTTTCCTGAGTCAGGAAAGCTGATTATTAGATTATGCAGGCAGGAGAAGATGTAAAGCTCAGATTTAGAGTTAGACAAAGTTTATTGATCTACAAGGGAAATTTTACACAGATTTGTGTTCATATAAATAAATCCATATATTACAGTCTAATACTGTTTTGGCCTCAGTTTCCTTGGATGATGTCTCTGCCTTACGATTGGGCCGTCAGTCAGAGGGTTTGAAGAAGTACACAGAAGAACAGGTGGATGGGCGCTGCTTCTCCATCATGTTCAAAGGTCACCGCAAAAACTTGGACTTGATGGCCAGCTCTGAGGAGGAGGCCAAACAGTGGGTAAACAGCATGGAGAAAGTGATCTCCATCTTAAACAACTTGAACCACGAGGAGAAGACCGAACAGTATCCTTTGTTAGTTCTTTGTTTCATTGTTTTATTTATTTATTTTTAAACTTGACTATTTTTATTCAAGCTGCCCTTGTCTCTGCATCCCCCATGTGCCCCATTGCCAGTTTGTATTTTTGAAGGGACTTGTAAGTTAAAATTGAAATCGAGGAGCAATGAAGCTAAGGAGGTGTCAGTATGTTTAAAACAATCATCACCAAAAGCATTAAAACTGCATTTTAATCAAAGATCATTATAACAAAAGTGAAAAGCTTTTGACATTTTTTAACTTTACTGAAATTGTATTACAACTTGAAGGCCTTGCTATAGATTTTATATATTATATATATAAATATATTAATATTGACAAAACAAGTTTATCTGGTTTAGTCTGTGTTGACTATAGACCGCTTTAGTTCTTGGTTTAGTTTAGTGTGACCATGTTCATGTCAGTTGCATGTTGAATGATTAATGTGAGGATGGTATGTATATGGGCAAGGTAATTCGTGTTACATATTAAGATATTAAAATCACAATATGAACAAATCAAAACATAAATAATCAGCACAACATTAACATTGAGAGTGCAGAATAAAAAACGTTTAACTCCCCACTAGATAGAGTTGCTATTTTGTGTAACAGCTTTTGAAAATTTGTAGATTTACTAGAATAGCTTTTGATGTTTTTTTCCTTATATCAAGTGTATAGTTGGATTTTAACATGTCTGAGAAAAGCAGACAAAAACAAAGATGACCAACTGAGTGAATCTGAGGTCAAAAACTTCATGCGTTTAATCAATGTTGACTTGGATGACGAATACACAGAAATGCTCTTTAAGGTAATGATTTTCTGAGCTGTTTAGACTTTTTATTTTCATACATGCATTTTCACCTGTGTATTTTGCTCAGAAATGTGACACATCAAAAAGCGGATATCTGTCTGGAGAGGAGATCAAGCATTTATATGACTTGTTAACTGATCGAGAGGAAATTGATGTAATTTATGGAGAATATGCCAAAAGCACAGGGTACATGAATCCTGACAATCTGGTGGAGTTTCTAATGAAGGAGCAGCGAGAGAAGGCTTCACTGATAGACGCCCACAGGATTATTGACCAGTGTGAGCCAGATGAAGCAGGTTAGTACTACAAAAACATTTACTTAAGTTTATAAAGCACAATAGATTTACAGAATTCTGAAATATATTTGTTATTTTGTAATGCAATGTAAAGCATGTGATTTTAAGGATTCAGTTGATTAAATCCACTGAGGATGGGCAGGTGGATTGGGTGTGATCTTTCTAAACCCACATTGCAATGTGGCTGGCTGATGTGGTAACATTAGTATTCCACAACATTAAATTAAAACTGCCTGTATTTTGTCGCAACCTATGGTCCAGATATGGGTGGGCGTGTTATTGTGTATCTGCTAAATGTCAAACATAAATATCAAGTCAAGTACATTCATATTTTCACTTTACCTGGCAGGCTGTTACACAGGTCAGTGTGATTGAGGCAGCATTCAACTTCTTAATTATTATTTCTACTTGTGTCAGCCAAAGCCAAGAAGCTGCTGTCTAAAGATGGGTTCCTCGTGTACCTGCACAGACCTGAGACCTTCCTCCTGAATCCAGACCATAAAGGCGTTTACCAAGACATGAGCCAGCCCCTGAACCACTACTTCATCTCCTCCTCCCACAACACTTACCTGGAGGAGGACCAGCTCAAGGGGCCCAGCAGCACCGAGGCCTATGTCAGGTAAGAGACAATGGACAATGAAACTGGGAACTTTTACAAAAAAAAGGTGAAAGTAGAAAGTAACGAGACCATTGTTGTTACAATACTAAAATAACATTTTGATAGTATGGAAAAGATTTTAGTACTAATTTCATTAACACACAATGACAGAAACACTAGACAATAGAGTACAATTTTCAACACAAAAGTATGATATACTTCCATGTTACCAACTTTATAAAACTAATGATCTAATTTCTCCTGTTTATGTAATTAATTCATTTTTTTTTCTTTAAATATATCTAGGTTATTTATTTATTCTTATATTGACCCAGCCCTATTAAGACAGTCCTGACACACTCATCACACTTATCTGAGGCCAGACATTTTCATTTGTTATACATTGCATTCATCACAGCATTTAGTTACATTTACATTACATTTTATTTTCTGCACATTCTTTGCACAATTAAGTATTAAAACATGCACCATGTGTCTATCAGGGCTCTTCTTAAGGGCTGCCGCTGTGTGGAGCTGGACTGCTGGGACGGCTCAGATGACGAGCCGGTGATCTACCATGGCTACACTCTCACCTCTAAGATCCTCTTTAAAGATGTCATCAAAGCCATCAAGCAGTATGCTTTTAAGGTGTGTACTAGTGTGATATGATTCACACCCATAATATGAAAAAAGTGGAGGGTGCTCCACTTGCTTGTGTCCATGAAGATGTTATTGCTTTGCCTGGAGTGTTCCACATAAGGCATTAAACATGTACAGTAAAGGTAAAGGTGAAGCAATCAAGGCAAGTTACAGGTCAGATCTGTAGAGAGATGGGTGCACTCATAGTAAGACTGCCTGTTTTCTGTGTAAGTAGATAAGCAGACATAGATAAGTTTAATGGCATACTGCAGAGAATTTGTTTTTATGAATATTTGAAGAGGCTAAACATTTAATTCTGTCAACTGGACAAAAATTTGAGGGAGAAGACATTTCACCTCTCATCTAAGTGGCTTCTTCAGGTTTGGTCAACTTTGGTCCAATTGACAAAATTACATTTTTCTTTCTTGCTCTGTGGATCATACGTAGCCTGATTCATCAGCTGGTTTCACTTCGTGGAAACCATCTGACCTCACAGCATTAGGATTTGTTTGCTCGACGGTAGGCGGGTACTTTTTTTTTTAACCCATCGCTGCTATTTGTTTGTGAATGTATGGCTTTGTGTACATCCATCTCGACTGCTTTGTTTACTGTTTTGCTGTACCACAAAAGGAACCCAATCATGGCTTCACAGCTCTTCACTGATTGGCAAGTGTGCAGTCTATAACTTCTGGGGTTATTGCAAACTGTCTAGTGTATTCCAGTTCCTGACCTAGTCGCTGGAGAGAAAAAAAATGAGGCACTAGGTGGCGCCAGCCTGGCTAGATCATACGTGGATAATTGAGGGATCACATGTACAATATTTGAAGAGCTTTATAAATTATATCTGGATTCAAGCAGCTACAATATAATGTTCTTTTCCTTGAAATGTGTGATGTTTTATTGTGAAACATGTGAATAGGAACAATTCCTATTGTTGGGAATTTTTTGTTAATATTCAGAATATATATGAAATCTTAAATATTTTGTTTAAACTTTGCAGACCTCTGAATACCCAGTGATACTCTCTCTGGAAAACCACTGCAGCGTAGAGCAGCAACAAGTCATGGCCCATCACATGAGCTCAATCCTGGGCAGTGCGCTTGTTACCAAACCCTTGGGAGAAGGCATGCCCATAACCTTCCCATCTCCAGAGGTCTGCCTATAACTGATCTGTTTTATGTTTTTGTAATGAACAACAATATCTAAAACTTGTTTTAAATCTAGGAGCTAAAAGGGAAGTTCTTGATCAAAGGAAAGAGGTTAAACAAACTTGAGTCCCTTTTCATTCAAGAAGCAGATGCTGAAGATACAGATGTTACAGAAGAGGAGGAGTCAGGCTGTGAAGAGGTGACTGAGGAGAAACAAAAGGCCAAAGTAAGCATTGTGACACAACAAATGATAAACTATGAATTAGCCCTTTTAGTGTTTATAATACCCTTGCATGTTCTGTTATGATTAGAAGAAGTTGAAACTTGCCAGAGAGTTGTCTGACATGGTGATCTACTTGAAGAGTGTGCATTTCCATAGTTTTGAAGATGCAAGAAACAACTTGAGCTTTTATGAGATGTCGTCTTTCAAGGAGGGAAAGGCAAAGAAGCTAGCAACAGAGTCTGGTAATAGTTTTCATTAGCACTGATGTATTCCTTATTTTTTCTGTTGTTTAACATTAATTTTTTTGCTACAGCTAATGGTTACATTCGTCATAATGTGGACAAACTGAGCCGTATTTATCCTGCTGGCTCTAGAACTGACTCCTCCAACTACAATCCAGTGTCGCTTTGGAACGCCGGCTGTCAAATAGGTATGAAGGTATTTGTACCTTTTCTGGTGAAGGGTACACCACTTGCTAATCACCATGGAGATTTGCTTTGGCTGGAATGTTTCACACAGTGACTTTAAACTTGTCCATCTTGCCTGTATTTGAGTTTCATTCCTCTTATACGTGTGAAGAATCCCTCAGTCGTCCAGGTAGAATCCATGGCGAGAAGAAAATTCAGTTTGTCGACTGGACAAAAGTTAGTTAGGTTGAAGACTTTTCACAGCTTATCCAAGCTGCTTCTTGAAGAAGCAACTTGGATGAGCTGCGAAATGCCATTCAGCTTTTACCTTAAACATGTATTATTACTGTGATTGGGGTCACCTCTTTACAGATCTACACATAAATGAACATTTTCCATTCTCACCTTCTCATTTTCCAAACTCACAATATAAAAGAATAAGAACTTCGTACATCAGTTACTAGAGACGGGTGCGTTGGAGGAGAGGGAGCAGCCCAAGAACATAGAGAAAAATCCCACACAGGCCTAGTGCCGAAACATTGCACGGTTTGTCCTAATAAATGTCACAATTTAAGACGGTGTGTGGGATTTTTCTCTATGTTCATTTTCCAAACTCAAAATTTACAAATAAACATTTCCTAGCATTTAAAAAAAAATCTATGACCAGTATAGCCACCCTTCGTCTCACATGGTCATAAACCTTCCATTCATGGAGTTTGTCCATTTCTTGGTCCGTTGATGATCGGCTTTTTGTGCAGCAGTAACCACAGCCTCCCAGACACTATTCAGAGAGGTGTACTTTTCCTTCATTGTAAATCTTCCATTTAAGAAGGGCCCAGAAGTTCTCAAATAGGGTTTTGGTCAGGTGAAGAAGGGGGCCATGTCACCTGACCAAGGCTGTTACTGTGTAGTCATGCAGTGGAGTACTTCGATACATGTGATAGGGCATTGTCCTGCATAAAAATCACGGTCCTCTTGAAAGATGCAGACTTTTTCCAGTACCACTGCTTGAACAAAGTGTCCCCTAAAAACTGGCAGTAAGTTTTGGAGTTCATTTTGAGTCCATCTTCAAACTGAAAAGGACCAACAAGCTCATCTTTAATAATAACAGCCAATGCCAGTAACATCTCCACCTTGCTGTCTTCTGAGTCAAAGTGGAGATCTGTGCCAACCACAAGCCCATCCATCTGGTCCATCAAAAGTCACTCTTGTCCATAAAACTTTGAAAAATCTGTCTTCAGATATTTCTTGGCCCAGTCTTGACATTTAGCTTATGTTTGTTCAGTGGTGGTTGGGTTTCAGCCTTCCTCACCTTGGCCATGTCTCTGAGCACTGAATACCTTGTACTTCTGAGCTCTCCCGGTGGGCTGCAGTTTTGTAATATGACAGAGCTGGAGGATGATGGGTTCCTGGTAACTTCATGTTTGATTCTTCTTTTTTTCTCAACATGTTTCTTTTGACACTGTTGACTATTTGCAACCAAACGTTTGATGGTTCTGTGATGATGCCCCAGTATCTTTGTTATTGCAAGAGTGCTGCATCCCTCTGCAAGACTGTTTAAAACTGTTGACTTTTCAGAGTCAGCTAAATCTCTTTTTGACCCATTTTGCCTGAGGAAAAGAAGCTGCCTAATAATTCCTTGATATAGGATGTTGATCTCCTTTGGCCACACCCTCCCTCATTAGACAAATACACATCATCTGATATGCTTCAATCAATTAAGAAGAATCCAAGTTTATACAGCTTGGATTTGGAGAACATGCATAAAAATCTGGGTATGGTCAAAATACACACTTGCCTAATAATTGTGCACACAGTGTAATCTGCAATTTGTCATCTGCTTAAATCTTCATGAAGTTGGACAAGTTTACTACCATATTATGGGACATTCCAGGCAAAGCAATGCTACATCACCAACATTAAAGGGGTGCCATGTTAGTGAAGTTGGACATTTTGATTGTTACACGTTGTTTTGTCTTTAGTTGCCTTAAACTTTCAGACAACTTGTGAAGACATGGATGTGTACCAGGGCAAATTTATGGTTAATGGAAAGAGTGGGTACATCCTGAAACCGGCCTATATGAGAAACAAGGCCACAGACTTTGACCCCATCACTCTGACCAGAGGAGAATGGCTCCGACACAAGATATTTCATGTTATGGTGAGTGTTGCTATGGAAACCTCATATTTCCAATAAGTGATCAAAATATTTGAACTGTTTCCACAATTTGTTGATTCATCATCAGATTATATCAGGTCAGCAGCTTCCAAAAGTCAACAAAAAGAAATCCTCAGTTGTAGATCCAATAGTTAAAGTGGAGATCCATGGCGTCCCAGCAGATGTGGCCACAAAAGAGACCCACGTAATTAACAACAATGGTATAAACTTTTGCCATCAGCCATTTCTTATCTTTACTAGCCATATAAAAAGTATACTTGAGATTACACTATAAATTGTGTTTTAAGGTTTTAACCCATCTTGGAATGAAAGCTTCCAGTTCGATGTCTATGTACCAGAGTTGGCACTGGTGAGATTTCTTGTGGAAGACTATGACTCCACATCTGATAATGAATTTGTCGCCCAATACACAGTTCCCTTCACTAGTCTTCAAATGGGTATGTTCAAAATAAATACAACTTTTGTGAAAATGTTTGAAACCTTATTTGAGTGTAAATTTGTCCACAGGTTACAGACATATTCCTCTACTGGACAAGACTGGGGATGCCCTTCCATCAGCCAGACTTTTTGTTCATATCATGGTTGTAGATGTTTAATGTCACTGGGAAACATTTTTTTCTGCCAGACCATGATTTTTTTTTTTTAATTCATGTTTTATTTTTGTGTTTAATTTATTGGCTTGTATCAAAAAGTGGCACTAGTTACTAGATACATATATACATGCTGATCAAACTACACCTTTTTTCCTCTTTTTTTTTTTTTTTTGGAGCAAATGTTTAATTGTACAAAAGCAATCACATTATTTTATGTTCCAATCTCATTTAAAGGTTTTCAAGTCTTAATAATGTTGAGATTTTAATGAATTCAGACATTAAGCATATCAAAACATTGTACTGTACTGTGTGCAAGTTCAGAGTTTAGGAAGATTATTTTTCTTGTAAAATCAGCACTGTGCTATATTTTATAAATGAATATTTTGAATATTCAACCACCTGCTGTTTCATGTGTTGAATTGTTACATAAGACATCAAGTCATCTTCTGCTTGTCTGGTGGCTAAGTCTGAAAGGCACTTTCCATGGTGAACCAGCGCCTCTTTGTAAATTATTGTAAAATCTAAAATGTTAAAACAACAAACTTTTTCAGCACTTATGGGGAAGGTCCCAAGATGACCTTATTATAAGCAGGCCAAGACCACAGATATCCACCTCCACCTATAATACTCAATTGGTATTGTCACTTTTATTTTAATGTCTTTGTGGCATGTTTTTACCATAATGCATTAACAATAATACACTAACAATATATATAAACTTAATTAGTGTGAAACTACTCCATAGAAATACCTACTCACCACTGTAACAGGTACTCCTCGTTCAGAAGCAATTTAACCTGAACTTTGAGAGGACACACCCTTTGTACATGTTACTGTGCAGCCACTAAAAGTAGGTTATGTGAAGCACTCGCCAACAATGTATTGTTTGAATGAAAAAGTCACTTCAAAAATGTATTCAAATGTGCTTTATTGTAACATGTCTGGGACAAAATGACAGTCTTTATACTCTAACAGGAAGTAAGTCAGAAGTAATGATTCTTTGGCCTTGGCTTAAAATTATGAATTTAGAAAACAAAAGACATGACAAAGAGATCAAATGAATTTTTTTTTTTTATTATGGAAATAGCCAAAAAGTATGCTCAGGATGACAATTTGCGGCCAACACTCAAAAGAAAAAGCCAACAAGAAGTGACAAGTGTTAAAAAGAAAACTTGAAAGTGAATCTGTCCCAGAATAATGACCTCAAACTCAAGTGTTTCTGAACTTCGGTGTTAAATCAAAGCAAATGAGTTGTGTGAAAATGAGTGAAACAAAAACAATGCTTGTGCTGGCACGCATGCATGTCCCATGAGAGGACAAGACCTGACTCAGATTTTACTGAAGGCAAGAGGAAAAAAAACTGTAGGGTGGAACATAGACAGGAAAAATGACAGTGATGCAACATATTGAACCAAATATTGAATAAGAGGGTAGAAAAATCTGACCGATACAATGTCAGAAAGGAGACCACGGAGGTTGAGAAGAGTCAAACTATTTTTTGAAAAAGACATTGCACTGAACCACCTTGAGCACAACACTCACTACCAACAATGTAAAAGAGCAAATATATGTTCAAATGATTACAGGTTGCATTTCTGAAATGGTTTAGGCCGTCCTAATTTCACATTATAAAATGGCATTTTGATTCACAGATTTAAGCGACCAGAATACTAGAAAATGGAAACCTAATTAATAATTGTATTTACTTTTTTACTTAGTTTTGTCATGGTTGAAGATTTAGACAAAACAATTGTTAATTTAGTTAGTTTGCGCAACCATTCATTTAAAAGATAATATAAGTGGCAACTCACTATATATGAAAAGGAATACTGAAATCCATTAAGTATGAGCTGGACTGGATCTGAACCAAAGGCATAATGTTAACAGATGTACCTTCATAGGGATTATTGCCACTGTGGTTGTAGCTAATGTTGCAGCATTCAGTTTGTGTGGCTCCTCTCAAACATAGGCACTGAGGTGACGAGCAGTTTAAAGTTTCACTATCTGAACTCAACCCACCACTATCCTAAAATCCCCTACAATATCCTCATGAGAAGTACAAAAACATGGCACTAGACCTATTCACTGTCAGACCAAATTAAACAGTAGGACACCTTTGCATCTGTGTACAACTCTGTCAAAGAAAATACAGGTAGCCACATAGGACACAGTAACAAATACATACAAGTGAATCCAAAATTATAAACCTATAATAATGTTATGCTTACTAAATGTAACACTTAGAACTGAAAGCCTTGTAAAGACAAAAATAATTTCCTTATTTGGCAAATAAAACAAAACACAAAAAGACAAGAGGAGTAATGGCACAGTTTTATCTGAACTTTGAGATGTTAATTCTACTCTCAAATAGCCATTGCAAACATATTCAGTTTCCTAAATCAAATAAAATACAACATTCCTACAAATAATGAAAGCAGAAAGAACAAAGTTACATCTATATAATGGCACAAGTAAACTGAGGGGAAGAATACTATGAAGATGTTTACCCAGCGTTGATGATCACAAAACTAAAGCCAAACTTTTATATAAAGATAGTTCTGTGTCCACTTTAAAGCATATTTTTCTGTGAAGACTGAAATATGCCATGTACAAAACACTTCCTCATATAAACTACTTTCAGACAAGGCACTTTACTCAGTAAGAAAAGAGTCACAGTCCTTTCTATCACCAGAAACTGCCTGCATAGCAACGACGAGGACAAAATCTGTCAGACTTGTGTAGCATCACAAGAGGTTTCAAAAATGTTCTTTTTCTTTTTTGGTTTTTAAAACAAGCACTCTCCCGTTACTAAAACTCTGTATGTTTGAAATAAAAACCAGAGTTCAATCCTCTTAGTAATTTTCTCCAATATTCTTGAGCAAGGATGCTCTGTTCTTATGTGATTTAGTGACAGTGCTTCTGGGAGTTTGAGTTTCTGATGGCACTCGGGAGGCAACGGCCAGTCTCCAAGAGCAGATAGGTTTCCACAGTGAGACTCCAGGGCTCCCCCTTGTGGCAGTGACAAAAGGGGCATGTTTTGGAGGATCTGCCTGAGTCCGAGAGGTGTGGCGTAGGTTTGAGGGCACAGAAGGACACAGAGGAGTGTGCAGATCAGCCATGGTGCTTAAGTCCGTCCTGCTACCTGCTCCTGAGGTTCTGCAGGACGCCATATACCTCTTCTTCTTTGCTGAGTCCTTCAAAAAAAGGCAGCAGGTCCAGGAGCTCTGTGTCATTCATGTCGTCAAACCACGACTGCACCGGCACCTGTAACAGGTGCAACATTAGAAAAGAGTTAAGTCTTTTTTTGTATAAGATGAATGGCGGGATGTCCTGTATAATGAAAGTGCTTAGAAGTGATGTGGAAGTTGCCTTCTTAGCAACAAGTCCAGATTAAATCTTAATAGACAAACAGTCAAAACATTTATCTAAAATGAAACAGGATGTAGTTAAAAAACACAATACCCAGATGGTCGTCTTTTTTGTTATAGCTGGATGATATTTACTGAGATGGCAATTGTGCATAATATAATTTAACCCCTATATAGATGTTAATAACAATACCAGCAATAACAATAACAGCAATAATAATAACAATAATAATAAATATTGAACATACTGTTTATTATTATTTATTTACTGTGCATGCTATTATTTTGTTGGCATCAATTTATGGAGAACAACAACAACAAAAAATCTGAAAATGAACATAAATAGATATTTCTACGATTATTTGCCTTGTCTTTGCTGCATGAACAAAAGGAACAGGAAGAAGATAAATCTTATATTCTTACAGAAAACTGCCTCTATTTGCTGGTGTGATGTGATCACATTATCAGTATCAGAAAATCCCACTCACAGCATTTTCAGGGTGAAATATGTAGGAAGCAGGCGAGTTGTCGACTATGATGACATTGTTGAGCTCTCGTCCGAGCCGGCTGAGGTCTTTGACGTAGTTGCCTCTGTGAAAAACACAGGACTCTCTGAAGAGCCGCGCTCTGAACACACCCCACTGGTCCAGCAGATCGGCCACAGGGTCTGCATACTGCATTTAGACAAAGACAAATTCAGAAACATGCACACTAATAAAGAACTGAAGATTGACAATTTTCTACTCTATTACCAAATGCACAACTGACCGCTACCGACTTTACTGCAACACTACAGCAGGTACAAGTCCCTTCATAAACTTACCCATGCATTTTGTACAAGATGCAAAAGACATAGAAAGTGAAGCAGAGTGGTGTGAAAATGAAAACAACTATAGAGGAGACAAAAGAGCCAATGAAAATATTTGAACCATACCTTAGCAAGACTGGCTGTAAACAGCACGCACTCAAAAAGCTCTCCCATCTTTTGAAGAAACTCATCAACATGGGGCCTTTTCAGTACATACACCTGGAACAACAAAATTCAAGTTAACTGTAGCATTTTGGTGTATAACCAGTTACAACTAAATACAACTAAATTGTGTTTATTTACTTAGAAAATATCAATTGACAAACATAATACACAGCATACAGTAGTAAAGCTCACTACAAAAATGTAAAAGGAATACACATTTCTCCCCACACAAGCAGGATCAGTGGCTGCCATCCAGTGCAAGTAATCATGAATAGGCTAATCAGGAACACACAGCCTATCCTGGATTACTTGAACTGGATCACCGCCTCTATCTTTTCCATCCTCATGAATCCTGTAAATGTAATTAACAATAGTGAAAAAGTCTCTACATGACAAGACATACCTGATGAACTATGCCATCAATCTCCACAGGAACAATGAAGTCAGCGTTGCTTATAGGCTAAAAAAAAAAAGTGAAACAAAAGCAAAAATTCATTATTTATTTACCAGCAGAGGTCATGTCAGTCAGACAAATATCAAATATAGTACGACATTGTTTTTTTGCTTCGTTTTTTGCTTAGTACGTTTCCTTATTAAAACATACCTTGGGATGTGTTACTTTGCACATGAGTAATTAAAAACATTTAGGTCATTTTAAAATCCATTCACTATTTGCAAGACAATTTCAAATAATTTATCATTCAAACTGCCTTCACTATGCAGTTATCCCACTTCGATGTTAGCAGCTACCAGTCTTTTTAGCCACATTTAAACTGCTCCACTCTTCAGTGTACCAGAGTAATACAAAGTTACTTACACTAGGCTGACCTGAACCGCTCCTTTACCTTAAATGAGCTGTGGACGAGAGTTTCATCCAGGTCTATCACAACACACTTTTTGCCATAATCAGAAATCTTCATCTCTGGCAGGAGGTATTTGGCTGGTGGCTACAGAGATATATCAGAAAACAAACAAAGTGAATGAAGAGGAATGTGAGGTGTTAGAGAAATAGAGAGATAGCCAATTACATTTAAGGGTGAGCAGAAGAAATATACCATAGACCAAAGCTAAAATTGACAGACAACGAGATAATTATGATATTAAAGAATCTTTAAAGACATTATTCAAACTGATCATTGCAAAGGCAGTTTTAGTGTATTTGAATTAAATTGCCTAATATACCCTCAATTATGAAATTATACAACACAGGTTGTCACCAGCATTAGCGGTAAGGATTGTCCCTATTCCATGCAACAATGCTCCATGCTGTACCAATGACATTTATCGAGCAAGGCTGAAATGATGTACAGTTAATCAACAACAGCCCAAATATACTGATTTGCCATTACACCATTTAAAAGTAGTAAAACAGTATGGCAAACTGGAAGTATGGCTTTTTACATAATGACCACAAACATTTTTGTGGAGTGTTTTCAAGTACGGTCATTAGTGCCAACAAGTTGTTACCAGCGGATCACCCATGCAGATAGCGTTTAACACAAGGGCCTTTAGACCGTCTCAGCACCGAATGCTACGCTGGACTCAATATGGACCACTGGTTGGTGTCCGTGAGGCACGCTGAGAAGAAGCCCACACAAGCAGGAAGTGCTGGCACCAACCCACTCAGCCACATGCACAGGAAACAGAAAAAAGGCAATACATACACTAGGGACAGGGATGACCTCGACCTGGTCACACTACAACACAAGAGAGATAGACATGGACAGACAAAAATAAGGTGAGGGGAGAAAGAACTATTTAAACACTTCACAAAAAGGGAGCTTCAAGTCAATAACACAAAAGAGACAAAAGCTACAACATAGGTGAAATAATCTACAGATTCAGAAGTCAAACATGGGAGAAGTGGAGGGGTTTGTCCAGGCAGCACACCTTGGGAGGGGATCCGTTCTCCTCGACCGGTGGAGGCAGGGCGCTGGTGTTGGAGTTGGCAGCTGGTGGCTCAACATTGTAATTTCGGAAACAGCAAAATAATGTGCTGAAGATGCTCCGATTCCTCTGCTTCTTCAAGCTGCTTTTGGACTGTGATGCTGCAGAAATAAGATATGGAAGATGGTTGTGAATTTAATCTGTAAACTTATAAAATGTTAAGTGAATTTGGCATCATGGGTACATCTTAGATAGGAATTACTTTTACAGTCCGTTCAGACCGGGGCATCAAGGCGACCAGTTTATATGCAAAGTCTATGTGGACGTACATCTAGGGCGCTTCTGGGGTGCGTCTTCGGGTGTCAGCACAGTGTGAATTTGACGTTGACGCAGTGCATCTTGAGCATTCTGGCATTGACACTCTAGAAGCGCGTTCAGGGTATCAGCATCAGAAGTTGAAAATGAGGAACTTTTCACTTCAGACGCGCCACGTCAACCAATCAGGGACGACTATCCATTGACGTAGCAATGTTATTATCCAGAAGAAAGAGAAAGACCCGAGGACCGAAGCGGGAGCCACAAACATTAGCGGAGCATAAATATATATGCCGCTAAGGACTACAGCAGGACCAGGACTAGACCAGGACTAGACCAGGACTAGACCAGTGTAATTAGTGTAGTATAAATATATACATGTAGCAGTCGCCGAGCCGATCACCAGGACTGGACCAGGACTAAACCAGGACTAGCCAGGACTAGACCAGGACGATCCAGTGTCATTAGCGAAGTATACATATACATACGCCGCAGCCGCCGAGCCGATCACCTCCGCTGATGTTTTTGTGTAATAAACTAGTGTCACTCTCTCAGCCTGGTCTGATACCGTTCCGGGAAAAGACCGGGACCTGGCACTTGTTTTCAGGGCAACAGATGTGCGTCGAGTATTTTTCTCCCGTTTGTCCACGGCGTCCAAGACACGTGTCAGGGGCATCTAAACTCCAATGCAAATAGAGGCGTCTGGGGCGTTTTTTGACTCTGCGGTCTGGACGGACCTTTAGCGAGGACAGTAACATTCCTATACTTATTAACAGTTTGTAAAGTCTCCCCACACACTACAGGATTTTTCAGTCTTAAGCAATTTTTAAACATATGACAAAAAGCGCACACCACAGGCATGAGGAGAATCTTATAAAATTTTAAATCTTCCAATCCCCCAAGCACAATGCTAAAAGCTATGTACTATCAAACTAGAGTGCACTAGACATCCCCTCTAACCCTGATGCTGTTTCATTGGCTGGTGCAGTGATAGTGATGTTTTGTACTTAAGATATGAAAGCAGCTCAGAATTGACACCACACACAAGAAGCGCAGCAGATAAAAAATCTTTGACGAAGTCGGGTAACGCCCCCACCATGGGGGCTTAAATCGGACAAATCATCCTGTAGTGTGTGTTGGTCTTTTTGAGGACTGACTGAGGTTTGGTAGAAGCATTGATCAGAAAGAGCTTCAGTTATTATCAGTTCAGCTCAGTTCTCATACCACAACTATGGCGTGGGGCCTAAATAAGACTTATTAATAGTGACAAGTTGAGAGCTGCACACTCCTCCTCGTTTCATTTGCCCCGTCTTGCCTTTCTGTGAGCGGATTGGCCCACAGGTCTCCATTTTGAAAGCATGCTTTATTCCCTCCCAAGTTTGAGCTGGCAGGTGAGTGACTGAAGCAGCCTGGACATGCACAAGGAGGAGGAGGAGGCCCCGAGTCTGAGCAGAGGAGGCTATACAAGGGTGCATTCCTCTCTACCCACTCGGCCCTCTGGTCTTCAAGACTAAGAATGCTTTCAAAGTGTGGGCCAGCAGAGATGTGGCTTTATGTCTCTATGTGTCTCTATGTCTGTCTGCATCTTCAATGTTGCCAGTACTCTGAACTCAGACAATTAAAAAAATGTATTTTTAAGTAAAATGTGTAATTGTGATTTTTTTGATAAGCACTGCAATTAGATTTGTGATATGTATTTTAATAATTTCTGTTCGAAATTCAAATTTTAAACGAGTCCAGAAAAATTTACAAAAAAAAAAAGACAGAAAGAACAAATATGAACTGACAAACTAATACAAGAATCACATCAGAACATGTTGGTACAGACCTACACTACAGGATTTGCCATTTTTATCCTGAAGTAAGTTGTTTATTGTTTTAGTTGTTTGTGGGAAATTATGATACTTCAAAAACTACAGCTTTTGCTATTTTCTAATTGTGTCCAATCAAACTGAGATTTTAATTTGATTGCAATTAAATTTGCCGCTCTAGAAAAGGCACATTTACAATCTAAACTCACAGTACAGCCCATTACCGTCAGGCAGCAGACCATGTCCCTTCTGATCAGGACAAAGAGGGCCACATCCAGCATCCTCTCACTGATTAAGTCAGACTGCATAGACCATTTTAATGTGCAGACTTGATATAAACCCATTTGTTATTTGTGATGATCTTTGTAAGAATGGACGTGCTATGTCTTTGTGCACTGGCACTTTGTCTGCAAATTAAGTTTCTATACTGAGATTTAAAAAATTTAAATACTACAGGTTTCTGAAGTCTCATGTCATATGTACATCACAATATTCTTTTCTTTCTTCAGTGTTGGTCTTAATTGAGGTGGCTCAATTGAACTCTCAATCATAACAAAACACTACACAGGTTAATATTAGTTGGTGTTAAGTTACATATTTATCCAGTCTGCTCTCCAAGTGCTTTTGTGAGACTGTATTGCAGAGGAGCAAAGACAAACAGACTTCCCTCATCCAAGACACTTCTTTGGCTCAAACCCATACAGCCATTTCTATTCCTCGAGTGCTTTGAGCAAACGTCAGAATCAGAAAAGGTTGTTGTAAAATGAAACCAAAACAATATTACTGCAATGTAAACAGAGTGGCAAAGACATAGAGGAATAATACACTGCTGACTCCTCACATACAAGCAGCAGCTCTATTGAGAGCTCCTCATCCCCTCCCCAAGAAAGCACCCAGCCTCCTGTGACTTCAGGAGACCCTTTTCAGTCTTGAGTATTCAGGTTCTTGTTCACTCTGGAGTCTGGACCTTTGGACAGGTGAAAGCAGAGAACTCAGAAATGGCTCAGAACATCTAACTGCTGACGCTGCAGTAATCAACCTGCCAATCTCATGTTTTAACTTTCTCTCTCATAAACAAAATTAAAAACTCCATTAATGAGGAATGTGAAATTACTACTCCCAAACTGTTCTCAAAGAAATTATGTTATGAGATTTTGACACTGTTGAAAATGTAAAATGTAATGTTTAAAAAAAAAAAAAAAAAAAAAAAAAATCAAAACTGTTTCCCAACAAATTGACAAAAATATTCAAACAGTCCATCAGACATTTGATTAACATCCCTGGAAATGTCTGAAAGAGCCAAGAGTCTGGCTGCAGACCTCCACCCAGAGAACCCAACCCAGCAGACCTCTAACAGGACGCACCTCCACCAACATGTCCCTACTTTATTTTTTATTTTACGCTCTATAAGCAATTTAATTACACTTTTTATTAGTTGTTACCTTAATTTGCCATTAAATGTTATTAAAGATGATAAAGCTCTTTTCATTTTTTGCACTTATTAGCACTCCAAAGATTATAATTTAAATTGCCAATCCAGTGTCCTAATTATAAATTCATTAAAATGAAATTTGCTCCACTCTGCTTGTATAGGGAAAACAGCAGTTTAAAAAGATGTCACAAACATTACACATTTATCAGCATGTGGCCTACAATGTCCTAAATACAAATCACACAGGCATGTGTTGCAGTCTGGTTAACATTAGACATGATTCTTTAATGATTATGTTTTGGAAATGAGTTTGGACGTATCTTTAAGGCAGGAAATCGTCGACGTTCACTTTTAACAAGGGGGCTGTTTTTTTTTTTTACTTTTAGGGACCTGCTGATGGAGATAAGTCACTTGAGGGTTCTGGAGGTAAAGGTCTGCAGCCAGGTCCCTCTCAAAAGGGTAGAATAATCACTTTTACTTTTGTAACTCTGACTAGAAATATTATACATTTTTCAAATCCAACAATCATCAGTTTTTCAACCATCTGAACAAACTCTCACATTTAGTATAGAGCAGTCATCAGCTTTTTCCTCTCAACTAAAAACAGCTGCTTCACTGATTTCAGCAGTGAGACTCAGGTACTGCCACAAAGACAAGGGTAGAAAAAAAGAAGTCATCTGACAAAAAAACAACATAAAAAAAAGTTGTTACAGTATAGATGTGGTTCAATAACATCTGCTTTCTTGCATTGTACTCCTGCATCTTGATGTTTGTGTGGCCCTCTGAGATAATGACAGAGAGGAGGGACTGCTGACTTAAACAACTAAACAAGACGAGCAGAGTGTTTTTACGCAAAGAAAAGTACATAAAGAGTGAAAGCTTGGACAAGTCTAATTGATTTTTCAAATTAAACAGACAGGGTATAAAGAAATTCAATCAATCAAATCACTCAATCAAAATCTGCCGCAAAAGGAGCAAACAACAACTAAAGTATTAGGGGTGTAAGAAAAAAATTGATTCGGTGATATATCGTGATAGTTCATTGCACAATTCTCGAAACGATTCAAAATGCATCCGAATTGATTTTTTAAATAATATTTTTCACAAAAATTCATTAGTTACATCCATTGTTCTCAGCATTAAAAAAAACAACATTATATTTCATACAATTGTGTTCTCTTGAAGGTGTAGTTGACTGTATTATTAGAAGTAATTATTGATAAATCACAATATATCATCCATTGATTTAGTATGGGGATGTATGTGGATATACGTGACATGTGAATCATGATACACATATGATGCACACCCCTATAAAACATTACCTTCTATATTTAAGTTTGAACTTTATACTTATAGAATTTGTTTAGAACAATTAGTGCCACTTTTTTGACCTACTGCCCAGTAAGACATGCTAATAACAGAGCCCTCCCTCAAACACAAAGGGCAACTACATATAGCATGTCAGGGTAAAAATAGATTTCTTACAGGGGGCCAATAGAGTCTGTAGAACGAGGGAGCTTTATGAGACGGAAGGGGTGAAACAACGGGTTGAATTTGTACCCATTTGTTTTTGTTTGAAATAAAGTGTCACTCTCCACAATCACAGCAATCTCTTTTAACTGTTAATATGAGACAACTACATAGAGTTTCATACTGTTCCCTGCAGTTTTACTAAACTAACCTGTGAATCATAGTGGTTAAGAATATGAGACATGGTGAAATAATAGTCATTGTTGTCATCTGTGAAAAGTTATACTGACTGTGAGGTCAGTGGTGCCCCGGACCACAGGCCAGAGGCTCTAAATTTAGGCTGGAGCTTGGCAGCAAAAAACAGTGTTCAAACAGGAGACACATGTCGTAAGGCCACAGGCTGAGCCACACTGGCCAAAGGTGGTCATGCTCTGTCCAGACAAACTGGAGCCTGGTTAACCAAAGCACTATCACCACCGTCACCTGTCAAACTCCAAAAATCCTTCTCACACAGACAGATGGGCAAAACAAGAAAACCCAAAACAACATGCACAACAACAATATATCTATATGTGTCTTTAACCAAAAGTAAATTACCTCATGGGAATCATTTTTTATAACTTTTCAAAGTGGAGGTGTAGGAAGGATTAACAAGATTGATAATGGAGCTATTAAAGTCAAGTTGTGCTATATGTTAGTCAAGTAAGCAATACTGTAGTAATTACTGTATTCCTGCATAATCCTCTAGATTCTAGCAAACAGATTGTAATCTGTGTAATCTTCTTGCAGATTGCTTTAACCCTTGAGAGATTATCAGAAATAAATGCAAATCAAGGCATTCTTTCAACATTCTCTTTACTACACTGTAATTGTGTACAAAGTCATGACATGAACAGAATAAAGATAAAAGTGGATAATTTTAGTAGATTTAGTAGAAAACAAATATAAAGAGCAACAAGAATTCACTATTATCTTTGTAAAATTCTGCCCCTTATCCACAACATTAAATGCCACTCCTCTTGTATTGTTAGCTGGTATTCATTCAAGATCCATGCTAATCACAACTTTCACCTATAATGTTGAAAACTTAGTCAAAATAAATATTAAGATCATGGTTTACAATGATGACATGAAAAACCCAATTACCTCTGTAACAGGTCTTTTTCACACAACACAGGACATAGAGGGTGGTGGTGTTTAACGCCAAGAGGCAAATGTATTATTGTTGTGCTTTGAGTGCTCATATTACTAATGGACTCAGAGTTAAGTAAGGTTTGACTCTATGATACAGTTACAGATTTCTGGGACTTTGGTGACCCGGAAACTGTCAAAGAACCCTGAGGAATGTCAGTGAATGGGCATCTGAAGTTCAGACTCCCCCAGACTGTATTTAGATGCTACCAGTGGTAACCGTCAGCACAAACATGAACATTTACTAACGAGTCAAATGTTACAATTATATATTCATCATAAGGTTAATTGAAAACATAACAAATTAACACATTATTAGCTTTATATGCAAGATGTCAACGTTTTTTTTTTTTTTGTATTCCTATAAATGCATGGTCCCACAAATATTTACTGTTTGATTTTTTTTTTTTTAATCAGTATAGTTTAGATACGTTTAAATGTTTACGACAAGACAACGAAGAATGTGATTAGTTATGCCAGTGTATAGTCCAGGTTGTTTTTGTTGTTGTTGTCTTCGGTCAGAAACATACAGCCTATGTGGGCTCAACATGTACTTCTTTACTCATGTGAAACGCTGTAAAAATGACAGATTCCCAAACCAGCTATTGCTTTGACGGTTCAAAGCTGGTGCTACTAGGTCAAAGACCATCACAAAAAGCATAAGCAATCGTCTGTCATACTGACAGCTTGAAGTGTACACTGTGAGGGCTAACAGAGTTTTGGAAAAGCTAAATTATAACTCAACAAGCAAAATAAATAACGATACAACGCACTCTCACTACTACACCCAGATACGCCTTGCAAAGTGATGCATTTTCATAAGCACACCCCCAAAGAGCCGCTCATACAAACTTGTTGCATCTCAAGTTCATAAACTATGAACTGTGCTGTTTTTAAACAGCATTAAAGCATTTAACAAGTAGACCAATCTCTTGTGCAAGACAGCTAACAAGTGTGAGCTAATGTTAGAAGTGAAAGTGACTAGCACGCTACCAGTGGCAAACTAGTGTCCAGTCAGTTTATTCTTACCTTTATCTTGGTTAAAGGCTAATATTTCCTCCTCCTTCGGGTTTGAAACCTGGGTTATTATGGACATGTGGTCCATTTAGGCGGGTGATTTTTGCGGCTTTGTTTCCCAGAGCGTATCCGTGCTAGCGCGCTTTCTTCGTGTGCTAATGTTAGCTTAAAGATGGGAGCTCGGAGCTAGCGCCGTGCGTCACCGTCTGTCCGAGGCGCAGTGTTGTGGCAGCGGGGTTAGCCAGCCAGCAAGCACGGGGGTGTGTGGAAGCCAGACAGGGAATGTCATTTATGACCCGGCGCAAATTGGCGTACATGCAAACGAATCTATTAGAGTAAAAAAATAACTGTATGTAACTTAAAGAAAAAAATACGCCGCATCAACCCTTCGCTAAAGTTAGCAACTAGCCTTGTTAGCAAGTTAGTGTTAGCCGTGAAGCTCAGATGATCCAAATGTACGGCTACGCTGTGCCAGTCACAAAACGACTCTGTAAACTACAGGAAGTCAGAGAGATGTTCAATCCAAGGTTCAGAAACCCTTAAAACAAAAACATGCCGTTAACTCAATTTACACCTGGTTCAAAATAACCACTTAAATAATAACCACAGAAAACACTCCTTTACAATCACTCTAGGCAACATGGATGATTCATGCATTAAGAAAATTATCTAACAGATACAGAAGATTGTTCTTAAAATCTGATCTGGGTTTTATTTTTTCAATGTTCAAATATTTAAAAAAAGTTTGTTTCAAGCATCAATTAGGCTATTCAAAGATCCTTGTCTTTTCAAAGAGCCTAATTCATTTACAGGTATACATTATTGTTGTGAATTAATGTAAACATTATTGTTTTGAGGTTCACTGACACCCCCTATCGTTGCTGTGTGTAAAGATCTGCAACACTTGTCTTTTGTCGTTGGCTTACTACCATTTTAGAATCTAATTTTATGTACCCTACCAAATTTAATTTGAAACCATAATAAAATATAAATATATAACATAAATTATAATAACCTTCTAGTAAAAATACTGTAATTCATTTGAGCAGTAACTATACCAGAAATATGTAGCAAAAACCTTTAGTAACAGTAAGTAATAAGCTTATATAGGGTATGTTTTTCATTTTGTGTTAAAGTTTATTGACCTCAACAAGCTATTAATTACAGTGTTTTTCCTTCCTTGATAAATTGGAATGAATTGCCTCAAAGTGACATCAGTTAATACACGTGTCGTGTGTACTTCTTCACTGAAGCTGACAGAATAAATAATTTAAGCTCTGCACTACACTAGAGATGGCAAATTGATGTATCGTGAGGTTGTTTAATTCGAGGTACAGTGGCGCCCCCAAGTGACACAGTCTACACAAAGACTGCTCTTTTTTGATGAAGTGAGCGACTGATGTTTGCGTGGGTGCTCTTAAACGCTGCACTGCACTCACAGCCTGTTAATTGTATGCCTGTTTTTATATTATTTAGGCCTACCTGTAGTCTGTTATGTTATGTCAGTGATGGTGCGAACATTAGCCTCACTCGCCTTATTAAAAAAGAAAATACAAGAATGGATGCTTTCACTGATGCTTTACTCCTAGTAGCCTCCTCCACTGTTACTGTACTGACTGTGCTGTGGACCACCCCTCATTGCGGAGCTGTAGTGAAGGATAAATATATCCCCCACCTCCTCCCGCTGTGAGTCCGCAACATCCTGACTGGCCCAGGCTGGCGAGCAGCAGCGGCAAGCCCCCAAGACGGATGAAGTGAACCTGCTCTTCCTTCATACCCCTTTAAGATATATTTTCTTTTTTATAACTCAAGAACCGGACTACAAACTCCACACACACCGTCAAAAAAATTAAGTCGATGCAAGGTTAGTAAAAGAGAGTGTTTTAATTAAGTTAAACGATTAAAAATCGCACCGGCCAATGTGTTTGTGTCTGTGTGCATGGGAAAGCAAATCACATTTGTATGCATGGCGCTTTGCTGGGGGCGCGCAGACATGGTTGAGGTAGGGATTAGATTTGATCCAGCACCGTAAAGTTCTAGTGCGCACCACAAACAAAGTTGATGTTGCCTGATAATAAACATAGGCCTATTCTGCGGCAGCCAAAGTATGATTTCTTGTTCTGTACACACCATTTGTGGACATACAGTCAAGGCTAATTATTCTTGAAGTCAGTCCCAAGCGCCTCTTACATGGATCACATAGCACTGCAGCTGCGCGCTGTGTACAGCAAGACCAACTGTGAGAGCTATAATAGGAAGGAGGGGTAGAGTTGCGCAGCTGACGAGGCTGATTCTGAGGAGCCACTCTACTGCAGACCTATTTAAGTGCCTGTCTCATTCTCTTGGCGTATGGTAAAATGTCAGCTCACAAAACTTTGTGGTCACTGTAATTTTAAATGAAATATGTACCTAAAATATATATACATGTTGTTAAACAGCTTTAGGCTATAAGTAACTAGATGCACTTTAAATCTTTGTTTTAACCCAACCCACTTGGTAAATAACTTCACAAATGTTCAGTCATTCACACACATTTTCAAACTGGTTTAGTCAGTATTAATGCATTAATGGTGAAACAATGCATGATTATTTCACACTCATTTCCGTTTTAACAGTCTAGTCTAACACATCCAGCCTTTGCTGAGTAAAACTGTATTGTATATGCTATTGTAGGCTATTAGTGTAACAGGCTCACTCACTCCTGTGTGCAGAGAAACCATGGGGATTAAGGCTGCTCTCCCCAGATATGAACTGTATCTCTACACTGCTGTGCTGGGCGGGGCCTTGATATGGGCAGGCAGTTGGATACTCGAGGCTTCAAGTGGTGAGTGTATGACATATCCTGAAATATTTAAAGCACATACAGAGTCCACACGTCAGCCTTAAAAATACCTGGTGCCCACATGCCACATTTAAATTAACCCTCACCAACATATTAAGTAGTGTTATATAGAGCTGAAAAATGAGTCCATCGCTTTCTGCTCATGTTAGAGATATTTATGGATTACATAATTGTGATAACTTTCCCAATGGATGTGTTTGAATGTGGTGACACACTGAGCTAATTAAAGCCCCTATCAGGAATGTAAAGCAGTGGTTTCAGAGTAACCCAGTGAATGGCACGGTCTGTCACTCACTGAGGCGTATTGTTATTCACTGGTTTGCACCAATTACTCTCTCTCGCCCTGACTTCATATGTCCTAAAATGGTCACACTGACACTACAGCCTCTGTAGTTCTAGTCACTTTGTTTGGTACCTGCAAAATTGCTCCCCTTTATTAATCAACACAAACACAGCATTTCAATATATTCTGCAAGTTTCATCTTAGGAATGTCTTTATGCTTTTCCATTATAAAGATAACTAAATCATAAAAAATGTGTTTTAGTCTGCCCCAACGGTAAGTCAATCTCTAAGAGTTATTGACAATGATAGAAGACCACATTCAAAACACATAGAGTGCCCCAGTGAGTTACATAATACAAATAGGTCAAACACTTAAAATCATTACATGGAAAAACCTATCAGTTACATTATGTACTTTGATGCACAGGGGCACTCATCACTCAGCGTCCTTTTGTTTTATGACCTCTGCTGTTTTGTCTGATCAGAGAATGTAAACAGAAAGGCCTTCAAAGACAGTGTACAGCCGGGATGGCATTATTTTGGCAGGAAAATGGTAGGCTTCTGTCCATATTACATATTTATAAGCCTGTTGTAACATGAGACTTAATCTTATGATGTTGCTTGTTCTTCACAGGATGCAGCAGACTTTGAGTGGACGATGTGGTTCGCTACATTCCGCAACCATATTCTCTTTGCTCTCACTGGTCATGTCATCTTCGCCAAAATCTTCACTATCGTGGCTCCAAAGGTGCGTGCATGTGTTTATATTCACAGAGAGCTTGCACGTTTTTGTGTAATGATAGTTACCTTTTGCAAATAACCTGAAAGTGAAATACATTCTTTCCTAAACCATCTTTTTTTTTAAAAATTCATACAAATCAAGACACATCAATTTAAGTGACACATTTGTAAATTTGGTGTTGTCTGTAATGGCGTGTGTTTATATGTATCCTGTTTCAAGGTGTACACATGTTTAGTTCTGTATTGTGAGTTAGTAATTTGTGTCATTGTACATGTATGTATCATATTTAAAACAATTAATTGTGTTTTAAATATCTTTTTGTCTTATTTCATGTTTACTATGAAGATTGGTATAGATGGATGTAAGGTAACAATAAAACATGCATGCAGTTTATGCATACAGTCTGCATTCATACCATTTGTTCTTTTTCAAATTGTTTTTTTCAAATCATGTGTTCATTTTTAAATGTCCATCCAATTGTTGTGATATAGTTTTGTCCCTCTATTATGTATAATTATGTAATAAAAGACACATTTGACTCTGGTCTCTCTTTGCCCACAGCACAGATCCTTCATCTTTGGTCTATATGGAGCTTTGGCTGTTTTAGTGACTATGGGATGGACCTACATGGCCCTGGTGCTGTCCCACTGCCTGGTGCTTTACAGCGTTGCTCTGGTCAAACAGAAGTGGCTGGTGTTTGCTGCAGGCCTCACCACTTTGGCTTCCATTAAGTTAGAGCCATATAATTCCTGGCAGGTGAGTTGAGGAAGAAGAGGCAGCATGAACATGAATAATAGACAGGGCACAAGTGAACGACTAATGACAGGAAACAGCTGAAACTCCACAGAAACCCTGTCAGTGTAAACACATCATAACTGGCTTATTATTTATTATAAATTCTTCTTTCCCATTTAACTGTTTTCAACATAATGTATTGGATATCATCAATTTTGTGAACATTCCTGGGTCGGTTTTAGGAAGCACTGGTGACAGGCAGCTTCGACCTGCAGGACATCCTGTTTTATGGGGGTGTTGGCTTCAGTATCATGCGCTGTATGAGCTTCGCTCTGGAAAACTGTGAGAAGAAGGAAGGCAACTACAGTTTCTCTGATTTACTTAAATACAACTTCTACCTCCCCTTCTTCTTCTTTGGACCCATCATGACTTTTGACAGGTACCATGCACAGGTAAGGTGTAGGAGTAGAGCAATTACACAAAAACAGACTGTATTGACGGTATCAGTATAAATACAAAAATGCTTTATTATTACACAGGCCACCACCACTAAGCTGACACGTAAGGAGAGGGAGATGTGGAACATCACCAGTAAAGCCCTGCTGCACCTTGGGGTCATCCTGGTGGTGGACGTCTTCTTCCATTATCTGTACATTTTAACAATCCCAAGTGACATGAAACTGGTTGGAAAGCTTTCGGACTGGTGTCTGGGTATGTAAAAGTGCACCATGTTGGTGCTGTGTAATCAATTGTGTGCTTTGTTTATTTTGTAATGTTACTTGAAATTATCCTTCAGCTGGTCTGGCTTACTCTAACCTGGTGTATGACTGGATCAAAGCTGCTGTCATGTTTGGTGTCATTAACACTGTTGCCACTCTGGACCACCTGGACCCTCCTCAGCCTCCCAAATGTATCACCATGCTTTATGTCTTTGCTGAGACGTAAGCATCCTCTATATGTACTATATAATCATTTGTATTCACATGAAATGTAATGGTATGGTCCACATCTTTCTCCCCAGGCACTTTGACAGAGGCATCAATGATTGGCTGTGCAAGTGAGTGTTCAAAGTGTCCTGGAACATGTTTTAATTTGTGAGTTAGCTGTTCAATATGAGAATGTTTCATAGGTACGTGTATGACTATATTGGTGGAGACCATGACAAAATCTTCAAGGAGCTTCTGGCCACTTTCTGCACCTTCTTCATCACCACTTTGTGGCTTGGGCCATGTCAGCTGGTTTACCTCTGGTCTTTCTTCAACTGCTTCGGTCTAAACTTTGAGCTGTGGGTGGCTAAACTGTTCTCTCTTCCACCATTTTCTACCATTGAGGTAATATAATACACACACACACACACATATATACTAGTATATATGATGTACATTCAGTATGTTGCTGTTTACTATTTTCTTGACCCCCAGCATTGTATGGGCGAGGCAATGTCACGCAGGATCAGGGGTGTGTTCAACGCTGCAAACTTCTGGGCCATCGTACTCTACAATGTCCTCTCCCTCAACAGCCTGGAGTTTGCCAAACTTGTGGCAAGAAGATTGATTTTCAAAGGTAAGGCCAGCAGTGTATTCCATAAAATTGTGTTATGTTGTTGGACATGGAATAGTTTAAGTTTAGTGACTAAATTTCTTGTGTTTATTCACAGGTTTCCCTCTGTCCACTTTGTCCGTGTTGATGGTGACCTACTGTGGTGTGCAGCTGGTGAAGGAGAGAGAAAGACAGCAAGCCTTATTGGAGGAGCCAGAGCCAGAGAAGCTGGCAGATGCCAAAGAAAAATCTGAATAATAACAATAATATTGGACAAAAACCTTTTTAGCCATTTACTGGTTTCCGTCACTGCTCTGAACATAGCTTCTCTGAACATATGCTGTTCACAGCCTGTGTTTTTGAGATGAGAGAGATGTCAATGAGGGGAGAGGTAAAGTTTGTTTTTAGAGAAGCTAATATATGGGGCTGTGAGAGATCCCCAAGTGCACTTCCTGTAGACAACCGGTTCTGGCACAAACCCACCGACAGTGCATTTGCATTTAATTTTAACTAAAAAAAGATTGTTGTGAATATAGAGAATATAAAAGAATATATGGATATAAAGATAGGGCTGATACCTCAAGGAAAATATGAATTTTATGCATTCGGTTTTGTCCTGTGTTTTCAGTTACACAATTGTATTCATCTTATAGTGTCTTTGACACTTATGATTCTTAATATGACAACCTAGTCAAACTTGAATCCAAGGAGCTGCTTACAGATATGAGAGAGGAGAAAAGGGTGCTGTGGAGTGTTCATCTCCATTTTGCTTGAAAATGAATGTTTTGTATTTGTCCTCTGTTAGTGAAAAAAGATAAAATATTTTACAGTTACAGTATTGTTTTACTACTGATGTAAACTATGCAACAGGTTTACAATGTGGCAACTAACGGAGTGTGCTGAGTTTAAACAGCAGATAACTGACCACGTCAATATGACCTGTGAGGTGTTTGGGACAATAAATGCAAAGACTTTTTGAGAATTACAACTTCAAACTACAAATTCAAATATGTTTTTTGTTTGGTTTGAAATAAAACATTAATTTTAACTACATGTTCCTTATTCTTTCAGGTGGTTAATAGTTTGTTAAGCAAGTAGTCTATAAATGTAAACAAACTCCACGGTGATGCTGCAGTTACACAGCCTCACCACTAGATGACGACAAAGCGCCATGCACTGGCGGGTGCGTTCATAGCGCCATGGTTCATACTTGCACGAAAGAACACCATAGTTTGACCAAGTATGAACACAAAGTTGAATCCGCACACTCAGACATGGGACACAACTGGGACTAAACGTGGAACTAAATTTGAGAAAGACCAGGACCACAACAGGACCACACTAAGTCTACATCAGGAGACTAAGGGGCTCTCAAACCAGGACAAGTGTGAACGCACGCTAAATAATTTGGCGTACACTTTCTTTCTCCCACTAGGTGGTACCGTGGTTCTATTTGGTGGCACAGGAGGATTGTGGAGGCAGCGCGTGACAGGAGGAGCACTTTAAAGCAGTTTCAACAAATGGCACAGGTCTGGTTTTGGACTGAAAACATCAGTTACTGGGTCATTACATTATCGGTTAATAATACATAGAGCACACACAATGTTATTTGAATGTAATTAAGTTACACATTCATTAGGCGTAAATAACATTAGGGAAATCAGCTAGGCCTATGTAACATATTTAGAAAATAGCATGCTGGCAGATAATTTGTCATATTCTCATCGCACGCCTCATAATATTGAATTTAACTGGGCATGTTTAGGCTACTGCCTAAGCCAGACCAAAAAGCTTTGGAAATCTGGGTCAGGGCAGTATATAGACCAATTAAAAAAATAATAATAATAAATCATCTATTTTAATCATATAGCTGTCAAGAGGATTAGGAGCGAAACAGTAGCTCAGTGCTCATCCTCTGATCTGATCCACTGACTCATAGGTCGGTGGTGCGATTCCAGCCACAAATGTGTCCTTGGGCAAGATACTCGCACCCAGTCTGGATACTTGCTCCCCTGCGTACACTGATGTGTGGATGTGTGAATGTGCGTGCGTGCGTGTATGTGTGTGCTCTGAGTGGTTCCTTGAAATGCTTTGAGAGCTATGAAGGTAGAAAAGCGCTATATAAATGCAGCCCTATTTGGATTGTCAATATGTTGTTGTTATTCAACTACCCTCACTTTAATTTACATTTGATATAAACAAATAAAAATAAGAAATTATAAAATGAAATGGAAAAAAACTATCATATTATCAAGCGACTATCCATATTTCACTAAAGCACAAATATCTTCAAACTTTAACAGGAAAGAAAATCTGCTGTTAAACGCAAAGGAGGGTTCTTTACTAATGTGCAATGTTCTGTCTTAAAAACATGATTTATGTTGTCATTAAATTTGTGTATTATTTATTTTTTCAGGTCTTAACCATATGTGACCATTACCGGCTTTCCTAAGTACCTATGTGTCACCATCTGATGCACAATGTAATGTCACAATATAATCACAAAACATATTGTGATTGCTCCTATCAGCTGTCGAGTGCCTTTGGTAAGTTTTCCCAATCACCAAAATGGATTCTTCATCTTGATTCTATAAATACATTGGCTAACACATTGAGTGACAGGCACAGACAGCTGCAACTCCTGTCCACGAGGTCTACCCCACCCCCGGGAACCTAATCCAGCTCTGGGTCCAGTCCTTCTCTGTTGTGGGGAGCCAGCAAGAGCCAGGACGCCCCTCTGAGCCTCCTCTCTCCCCTGCTACCAAGACCAACGCTACAAAATGGCTGCCATGACCATTGATCCAGTGGAGCAGCCTCGCATGTACCAACAAACTCTACTTCAAGATGGACTTTGTGACTTGCTGGAGAATGACAAGTTTGTGGATTGTGTTCTCAAGGTGCAGGATAAGGAGTTCCCCTGTCACCGTCTGGTCCTGGCAGCAAGCAGCCCATTCTTCAAAGCTATGTTCTTGTCTGAGCTAGAGGAGAGCAAGAAGCATGAGATTGTTCTCAAAGATGTAGAACCTGGGATTTTAGGAATGATTTTAAGGTATTTATACACTTCTGATATCAATTTAACAGAGCAAAATGTCCAGGATATTTTCATGGTGGCAAACATGTACCAAATACCATCCATATTTTCAGTCTGTGTGTCCTACCTTCAAGAGAAGCTAGTACTTGGAAATTGCTTGGCCATCTTCAGGTTAGGGTTGCTTTTGGACTGTCCCAGGCTGGCTCTGGGTGCAAGGGAATTTATATGTGAGCGTTACCAAGTTGTAGTGAGGGACCAGGACTTTATGCAGCTCAGCCCGAGTGAGCTGGCTATCCTAATTACATCAGATGCCCTGAATGTGGACAGGGAGGAGATTGTGTTCGAATCCCTCATGGACTGGGTCAAACATGATGAGAACAACCGACTCAAAGATCTACCAGAGTTACTCCACTGTGTCAGATTTAGGCTTATACCTTTGGATTACCTCAAGGACAAAGTAGAAAAACATCAGTATATTCGCTTCAGTCAGGAGATGAAGAAGGATCTAGAGCTGGTCAAAGATGCACACAAGGGACGACTGCCAAAACCCCAAAAGCACAATTCTAAAGGGGCAGCAGGAGGTGAGGATGAAGATGAGGAAGATGATGAAGAGGGGTACCTCCCCGGTATCCTTAACAATAACCCTCGTTTTGGGATGTTCGAGCTGGATCTGATACTCATGATCAGTGACACAGGGACGGTGGCATATGACCCAGTGGGGAATGAATGTTTTGTGGCGTCAGAGTCCACAGAAATCCCCAAGAACCACTGTAGCCTGGTGACCAAGCAGAACCAGATATTTGTTGTGGGTGGGCTACTTTTTAACGAAGAGGACAAGGATGAACCATTCAGTTCATACTTTCTACAAGTAAAGTATAATCAAAAACACTACCAAACATGTTATTTAATTGTGTTTTTATTTGGCTAATGTTTGTTTCTCAGTTTGATCCAGTGAGTTCAGAGTGGCTGGGGATGCCCTCACAGCCCTCCCCACGCTGCCTGTTTGGGATGACAGACATTGAAAACTCCATCTTTGTGGTGGGAGGCAAAGAACTGAAGGATGGAGAGCATGTGCTGGACTCCGTCATGATCTATGACAGACAGTAAGCATCATGAAATCAATGTGAAACATTCAACTTTCAACTTTGTTATTGTCCCAGAGGGAAATTAAAAGGGTTTGGTTCATGGTTAGATAAGCCCCAAAGCAAAGTTAACAACAGAGCTTGGTTTAATATGAAGTCAGTGAAGAATACAATGCAAAAGATCAGGCAACACAGAAATACAGATAACAGTAACTCAGAACATAACAATGGAGCAGATATAATAGTGACACAACCAGTAAAAGAGAATTCAAATCTAAAACTATATACCCAAATCTTGAATTAGGATCATTGTTAAGAGTAATTAGTTTGAGGATTATCCTATCTTTATGACGCATCTTATCTGTGCACAGTAGGCAAATAACATTTCTATATCTCATTCGGTCATAAAACTTTAGTTTAGTACTGTCATATTTAAAACCACGATGACAAAAATCATTATATGTTACATGTTTTTTTTACTTATGATATATTTGTGTTAAAATGTAATGCATAGCAACAACTCTTGTTTTTATTGATTCTACAGATCTTTTAAATGGGGTGAGTCTGATCCACTTCCTTATCAAGTCTATGGACATGGAACTGTATCACACAATGGTCTGGTGTATGTGATTGGCGGAAAGTCTGAGAGCAAGTATGTGACACCAGTTCTAATATTAACATTTAAAGGTGCACGATGTAACTTTCCTGTTTACACAGTCAAAATGTTATTAATTTTCAACATTCTCCTGGAATGTTTCACAGTATAAAAATAAACTTATTTATTTACTTACATGTGTTTTTATTGCTCAAAAATATCTTGAAAATCATTCTTTATTACTGTGAGTGGAGTTGTCTCTTCACAGTATGTGTAATTTTATAGCCATTATATAGGCTTAATATCTCCATGGATACAAGCAATTGGCAGACCCTCTAAAAAGTTACAGACTGCACCTTTAACTACTCCAAAATATATCTTGGATTTCTAATTCACTGAAAACATTATTTATTTTACTTAATTAAACAGGAAGTGTATGAGGAGAGTGTGCACGTACAACCCCACAAAGTTTGAGTGGAAGGACCTGGCCCCGATGAATACAGCCCGCGCTCTCTTCGGAATCACAGTTCATGAGGATCAAATCTATGTGGTTACTGGTGTAACGGACTCAGGCCTCACCAGTTCTGTGGAGGTTTATGACATCGCCACAAACAAGTGAGTGGTAACACTTTGAATCAGACAATTAGACTTAGGCTTCAACTAACTTTATTGATCCACAAGGGAAATTAATAGGACATAGTAGCTCACCACAATATAATATAATAAATTTAATTACTGACATATATTATTTACTTTTTTGCTAATTAAAAATGGTCCTTACTAGATTTTCCATTTTTGGTTAATCAGTTTAGTGTAATTCTTTTTTTGGACTTTCATAAAAAATTTACTATTCAAATAGTTGTCGATGTTAAAATATGTTATATTAAGTTTTGTGTTTCCACAAATGCTACTTTCACTAAAGCACAGGCCATCCTTTATTTGAATAATTTTATTTATTGCAATTTTTATATAATTTATATAATTTTATCTTAATAATACAACTCACAAAAATATAATTTTCTATACCAATTAATTGCTTGTTTTTCAAAATGGGAGAAAAGAATATGTGCAGCACTGTTGAATTGCAGGAGTGAACATAAATGTCTACAAAGAATTAAGTAGAGAAGTTAGGTAGGAGTAACTTATTTCTTTTAACAAATTGAGTTTCGCTTGTTTACCTTGATGTAAATTCTTAGTGCTCCTTTCCATCCTGTTATCTTGAGACAACACACCTGTGGACAGTAAGCAAATGACTTACACAATAGTTCACCATTGGGACATAAAATAGCAGTACATCCCAGTGTAATATGTAAATCTGGTGTTTGATTAAACAGAACCATAATTTCCTTATTTGTGTGTTGATATTTTAAGATGGTCAGAGTTCACAGAGTTTCCTCAGGAGCGCAGTTCCCTCAACCTCGTCTCAATGGGCGGGTTTCTGTACGCCATTGGAGGATTCGCCATGATGCCCACAGAGACCAGTGAGGAGCCTGTACCAACAGAAATGACTGATATCTGGAGGTGAGGCACACACATTTGTTTATTCATTTATCAATGTGGAAAAAAGAGTTAAAGGTGCACTATGTGCATTTTCTGGTGTAGAATCTACCACCTGCCTGTGTTCATGGAGATGCTATTGTTTTGTTTGGAATGTTTCAAAGTATAGCATTCAACGTGTCTGTCCCCAAGGAGGCAAGGAGATTTTTAATGTCATACTATGGAACATTTTAGGTTAAGCAAAGCAATGGGATCTCCATATGAGAAGCAGGTGGTGAATCCCCCCACCAGAAATGTTTGCAGGGATGCTGAAAACATGTCATAGTGCACCTTAAAAAAATCAAATTAGCAATTAAACAGTATTATTCAGAGTAATCTGGATATATCAGAAACCTATTTCAGAATTTAAAAAAATGTAAGTACAACTACTGATGCAAATACAAGGGTAAGATGTAAGATCTCTTTTTGAGCTTAACACATTTTTATTCTCTGCCACTAAATGTTGCTTTTTCAAACACAGGTACGATGAATTGGAGCAGAACTGGACTGGCATTTTAAGAGAAATAAGCTACGCAGAAGGAGCCACCATTCTGCCTGTACGCCTAAACACACTGCGCCTCAACAAGTTATAACCAAAGTGAACCACCAGGCTAATTATATAAAGAGAATGGGTCAAATGCAGTTCTTGGAAGATCATAAGAGATTGTACGTACACTATTTTGACAGATAGTGGTTCTCCTGTATAGATTTAATTTCCCCTTAGAGAAAGGAGTATCCATCTTACAATGCTTAGACACCAATTATTGTCATTGATCAGTAAGAAAATACATTTAATACTTAAAACCTAATCAATTTGAACTGTGCTAGAATCCTTCAAATTAATACACCGACACTCCAGTCAAGAATAACAATATGGCCGCTACCACAGTAGATATTGTGATTACTAATACAGCCCTATATGCAGCTATAAGTGTGTATTTTATAAAGTAATACAAAACCTTATTAAAAATCTGGAATGTTGTAGTCCTTGTCATATGCCCACACAGAGTAGTACATGCATGCATTTTCTTTGCTCTAATGCACCTACTACATTGGCCATGATGGGGTTTAATCCCATATTCACATCACCTGTCAGTGGTCATATTAACATCACCTGTCAGTGGTCATAATGTAATGTCTGCCACTGATTTGGTGCAGTTGTCATGTGGGAGTAACTTTGGTTAACTGCATTATTTATTTGTTAGACATTTTAAGCTCTCAAGAATTTCACCCAGAGTGCACTCGAAGTTAAAAAGGCTTTATAAAGGGTATGGCTTTCCAGATGAATCAAAATGGGACATAGAATCCAAAAAAGTTCGGTCAAGTGGTGATAAATAAAAGCATTTTATCTTGGCCTTGTTTATTAATGCATACAGATACAGCCCCAGTGGCCTGAATCCCTCTCCAAATTTGGTTTGTCTTCTACAGGGTGTACAATATTAATGAGTTCTACATTGCCCTTTACAGAATACGTATAGAAGCCTTTTTAGGAAAACCCCTGCTAAACACACAAGTGTTTTAATAGTGCGCTACTAATTAAATTATTGTCTCCCAAATGAGGAAAGTACATTTCAAGATGATTTCTTCTTCTTCTTTTTTGTTTTTTCAAAAGCCCTAAATATTTTTGCAATCTTTTTAAAGAAAGGCCAGTCAGGGGCCATGGAGGACATTGTTGGCAGAGATCCATTTTTAAAAATAATTTATAAACTATTGCAACCAATGATTGCAGAGCCAAACAAATTCCAAACATACATTGTTAATAATGGTGGATGGAAAAAGTAACAGTATAGGAAATTTCAGCCTCTGTTGGTTGAGTATTTTACCCCTGAACTAGAAGATAACTACGAGATTAGAATGGGTACTACTATTGTATATTTTTACTAATCCTGGGCTATTATTTGTATGTAATTTTGTTATATGGTTTTATCACTTTTTATTCCAGAAATAAAGCTCTGATGAATGGATGCATGTCCAGTGCAAATAATTTTATATCATGGGACACAAATATAAGACACGTTTTAACAGTACATGTATGTACCATGTTTGAAAAACACACAGCTTCAATGTAAACAGTGGTCACCTGAGCACTACGTCATCACCATTAAACATTAATACATTCACATTATTTACAATAGCAAAAGTGAGATCATGTCTGAGGTACTTGGCGTTTATAGAAAATACCCACTTTATGGCTTGAATGGAAACTATAAGGAACAAAAAGGCATTTACTTTACATAGGCTTGAACATTGCAATGTGTGAAAAAGCTAGAAAAGATCCTGTTTATAATTTAATTGTAAAAGCAATAAAGTTTTCTTTAATCATCCGCTTATATACATTTACCAGGGATATGATCCTTACATTACAGTCGCATCTAAGAAAGCATGAAAAAAGTGTTACTTTTAATCTGATGAGCAAGGGCAATAGGTATTAACTGGGGATGGCAGTTCAATTCCTGTCTTGTTTAAAAAATCACAGTGCAATCGATTGGGTGAGACATCCTTTAACTGAAAGCCGTAACATTATCCACTTAAAAATGCAGGATGTGTAACTGTGTCAGGTTAAGGTCAGGTTGGACCCCAGAGAGAAATCTGTCTCTGCAGTTAATACTGCGATAGAGCAACCTGTCTGAGCTGTGGGTGGCCACAGTGCTATGCCTGTGTGTATACTGAAACTGTGATTTTTACTTTTATCCAAACTATATATAGGGCTGGGTACTATTTAACAGTACTTCTTCTACATACACATAAAACTGGTGCTGAAAAAAGGGTGTTGAGACTACTAGTACACTACTATCTAAAATGTTTTCTTTGGAAACTTTTTACTCTTGGGTGGTCCTAATACAGCGATATACCAGCACACATAAATGATGAAAAACATTTCATTTACCCAGAGAATGCTTATAATGATTAATTATTTTATTATAATTATTTTAATTATTATAATTATTATTATAATTATTATTTATTTATCAAAATTACTGTAGCATGCATACTTAAACAAGTTGTTGTTTAGGTACTGATATTGTAAGTATAATTTAAGTACTAGTACTGAAAATTAACTACCCAGCCTTAACTACAGGATTCATGTGTTCATCAGTGTTTTAGATGCATCTGTATGCCTTTTAAAAGCGAAGTTTCTTGCCCCCTCCTTCACTGGAATGTTATGTTCTTTATGCCCTGCATGTGTACATGTGTCGTGGGCGGGACAGAAGCTGGTTATGATATGAGCGCATTCACTGTGACAGCCGCTTTTTACAGACTCACACTTTCATTAATGCTAACACTGGTCCCCTCAGCAACATAGGCCATTAGGTTAAGTGCCTTGGCCCTACATTGAACAAAAGCCTTTTAATAAACATCATGGCTCTTATTAGATATAGGTCTATTCATCTTAACAACAGATGGATAGACTGGTCCAATTTTTTATTCACTTGATGTAACACAGTGACCATAAAGATCTGCTTCCCATAGTATTCATGTGTTAGCTGTAATGAAGACTGAGGGCTGGTTTTGTAAGAACTAGTCCAGTGTGTGTAACCGTGATATTGCTTGACAAAGTGGTCCCTTTTTGCTGTCGCTAGAATTTACAAGTAAAAATACAACAACATGATGACATGTATGGAAAAAAATGTAGATGTAGATATGATACTGGTCAGAAGGGAGGTGAAGTTTTAGAAAGTGTTTGTTGGCAGTTTTTCAACCAAGGGTACAGGGACCAGGGCGTACTTGGAATGATTTTCGATTTTAGAAAGTGAATTTTAATATCATTTGAATGAAAACTCAGCGTGAGACAAAGTTAAAGGTCTAGAAAATCATAGTTAAAATGTAAAATGTAAAAATGTTCCGTAATGGGCCTAATAAAGGGTTTAGCAGAATTGCAGTACTATTGCTATATACAGTACTTACGCATTTACCCTGTCAGTCTGAATCCAGTTTTGAGCAATATGATTTCACCATTGTGAGGGAGCAAATAATTAAATAAAAATAAAAAAAGTCTAGTCAGGTAAATTACAACACATTTCAGGATATGACAAGTAGCTATGGCCATGCAATCTCTAAGTGCTTATTAAGTGGTACTTCACTGCACATAAAATGGTATAGTCTTGGTTGAGATGGTAATGATGCTATAATGCTTAAGTCACATAGCACATTTTTGTTATTGCTGACAGGTGAATAAATTGTACTTTCACTTTGGTAGGAATCCTGGCACTTTGATAAGACTTCAAAGAAAAAAAAAACATCATAAAAGACATTTAGTAACAGACCCCATCTTTGCTTCAACAGTCCAAGTGAGCATCTTTAGAGAAAATAACAATATGAAGGCTTCAAACTTGCAATGTTCGTTTTATATGGAAGAAAAGTGTTCCTGACAGGTAGTTGAGGCGCGGCGAGTAGTGGGGCTGCATTTGGTCAACATACTGATCTGAGTGCTGAAGTTGTTGCCGTTGCTGCCGAGTGAAGGCTGCTGGTACTTCAGGTCCGCTCCCAGGAAACGCTGCAACATCCATCTGCGCCACTTACGTTTAATCTCCGACTGCACCTGCCACAGAAACGAGACAGACAGGCAGGCAAACAGCATAAGAGGGGATGATGGGGAAGGGGGCTTATTTATCATGTCCAGGCAAGGTTTTATCGTGCCATTTCATTAATTGGATTTACAAATTTGCAAAAAAAAAAGTTTCATTGTTAGTAGGGCTGTGAAAATCATATTTTTTTCCTCATATTGATAGACCAAAAATGTTTTAATGAAAAAATGTATATAGATAAAAAAATATATACACTAAAATAAGTTAAGTAAAATAAAAGCAAACCCATAAAATAGCAATAAATAATATTAATAAAATAATATATATAGTTTTTTATTAATTACTAAAAAACACAGAGGACCACACAACTCACGAGGTTTTAAAAGCCAGAGAGTAAAAGTGGGTCTGAACAAAGCCCTAAAGTAAATACACAAAGTACTACAATTGTTTTGTTAGTGGTTTGATGTTTTCTTATTTACATGGTATTGCACAGAGGGAAATCCATGTTGTTATTGCTGTTTTTAAGGAAAAAAAAATCTCCTTTTGCTTGAAAATAAATAATATACATTATGTCGCAATAAACTTAAATGAACTTACCTCTCCATTGAGAAAGCAGTACAGCACGGCTACAACAAACCCCTAAGAGACACAGGACACAGGGTGAATAACAACAGGCCCATCTTTAAATCAAACAGCTGCTGAAAACATTTTCAGATGAATAATGATCGCGTGATTCTGAGCGGACAGAGATACAGGCAGGAGCTTCATCATTTAGAGATTATTCCCAAGAGAGCGTGGCTGAAACTTCATATAAATTATGAACAGTTTCCATAGCGAGGTTTCCATCATTGTGCTTGGCTCTGAGTGTTTGTATTCAATTTCAAAGACAGTAAATCCTGAGAATTATTACGCAATTGTACAACATACACACAAACTAAGCACTAAACACACTGCCTGTCCACTGTTGTAATGTCCCATGGCAGGAAAAAGGGAGTTTCATGGAAAAGTTTTGAAAATGATCAGTGAATTGTAACATTTTTTATATTTTGTCTGGTGCAAAGTGGACAGATTTCTTGGGTGGAAAATGAGCTTTGGATCATGATGACCAACAAAGTGACACAGCTAATGTCTTGGTTTTAATTTAAATATTACACTAATTTCAGATCCATGTTATAACTGTTGTTTGTTTGTTGTTGTGGTTTCCTTGTCAAAAACATACCTTGAGTTGTGTTTTGTATCATTCACACATGTTTAACACACAAACCATGCATATTTAGGCTTAGTTCTTCTCTCAGACTGTTATACCTATAGCTTATAGTGGAATCGGCTCCTTGCCTGTCAGATTGCAGGTCTATGCACATGAAGTAGAAAGTATTGGCATTATTCAACACCAAATTTGCATTGGTTGTCAGTTGACAGCGATAAGATTAATATGGCGTTTATGGAGCCAATCCTTAACAAATAATGATAAAGTTCAAACATTTATGGATCATAAGTTTGAATATTTCCTAGAACCTGAAAGAAACCTATTTGTAAACTGTTGAAAATCATCTTAATTCAACCCCTGTGTAACTGTCAGAGGCCAACTTTCTGACAAATGTCTGTATAAGAACAAATAATTAAACTTTGAGAAACATAGGGCGTCTGGTTCCCTGATACAGTTGCTGGCACTATTTATTACTGCAAGATAAGGCAAAATGATAATGGTTTTCCCCTGTTTAGTACACGTTTTTTGTATCTTCTTTAATACAGCAAACGGGTTAAGCAATTGTTTGAAATTCAAAAATATGTTGTTTTTTTTTACCTGAAATGATCCCAGAATAAGGTCAAATACCATCCTCACTTGTGGGTGAATGTTGTCCGGGATAAAAGCAAAAATAATGTAGTTTATTCCAAACAGTGGTATCAGCAGTAGCGTTGATTTGGCCAGTCTTCTACAAAAACATCAAGGCATTTGTCAATGTATGGGCGAGAATAACAACAGTTCATTGCCAAAAACACAAAATTAATTTTAAAACTGTAAATCTTACGTATATTGATTGGATTCTTTTCTTCCAATATCTGGGCAATTCATCTTCTGACGCAGAATCCGGATTATGCAGATAAAAAGAAAAAAGTTGATCTAAAGCAAGAAAAAGAAGAAGCTGATTATTTATGAGACCCCAGTGTTTAATAAAATATAACTAACCAATGAAATAATGCTCACAAGTATAGTTACTAAAATAGGTGTTTTAATGATCCACCATGGGATGTCATCAATAATTTCCCAACAACTGTGGGAGAAAGAGATACAGAAAGAGATAAGTTCTCAATCCTTGTTATAATGATGAAACCCATTTAAGAAAACTAAATGTTAATAACATATTTTTACTAATAAGGCAAGTTAACGGCAGTCTTTGAACATTACATTAAAAATATTCAGTGCTGCTGATTTTAACTCCAGATCTTCTGTGAGTTTACCCTCACTGTTTCAGTTCAAAATTATATACACAGTATTCATATGTGATGATTTGTGGCACAGAGATAGTGTCATTTTGGTCTGTTATTCATTAATAGTTTTGCACAAGCCTCTTCAGAGAAATGCTATAAAAATAATGCCTACTTGTTCAACAAAAACGTGTTGTGGTACTACTTATTGAATCAAAGTACAATAATGCAGATGATTCACTTACCCCGGGTCATTTAGCCAGGCTTTTGTAATGACCCACGAGGAGATGAATATAGTTGGTGCTCCTGCAAAATACATAAAGTAATGTGTGGAATTTCATGTTTGATACCAAGCACTAAGACACTATGGTCATCACATTTCAATAAAAAGTTGTTTGTTGTACATCGTTTCTATGTAGTTCTTAACCTTACTGGAGCAAACAGGATTGTATAAAGAAGTGGACTAGGGTAGTGTCACGTCACCTACAGTGTTCAGCTCCACTCGAATGAAGCTCATGATGCTGAAGGCTACTGGGGAAAATTTGGAACCAAGCTCCATATTAGGAATAGTTATTTATTAACACACAAAATAGTAAAATAAAAGCACCCAGACCATGTAGAGCAGGTTAATACAAAGATAGGAGCCAGGGTCAGAAGGAGAGGAAATTACCACCACCAATCATATGCATTTACTAGTATGGGACTGGAGTACCACAAGAAAACAAAAACAACAACTTAAGACTGAGCTCAAAGTGTATTAATCCACAAAGAAATGAACATACAGACAGGCAAACTCTGCTCTCGGGATTTAACCCAGTCCCGATTTATCAGTTAGACAACAGTCACATTAACACAAAATAATGTCTACTCTCAGGCCAATGTCTGGCTGATTCAATCAATAGTCTTTGCTGAAAGAAAGGGGTGCTAGCCACTCATTACCACAGCTTATGCTATACACATACATACACACTGATGATCATTTTTTCATAGAGAAGTAGAACATAACATGACATGGTGTCCAAACAAGTGTACTTGTGGTTGTTATACTCAGGTTTCTATTGCAAAAGTACAGTTCTAATCTCATAAAAATGGATGCAGAGATGACTCTATCAAAAAGGCCTCATAATGTAGTGTCTTCTCTGTCAGAGGCATCCACAGACTGACAGCTCTGCATTAGACCAGGACCTGTGATGAGGTGGCCTGCTGCTTCTAATTTAAAAACAACACAACAGCCTCATTTCAATGTGAAGCATGTGGCATATTTCTGTGGCACCTGTGCAAATGAATTCAAGCTTGGAGATTAATTTCCATGTCAATTTAGTCTGGATGAGGACAGACAGATGATGCCAAGCACAATCACTAAAAGAAACATGCTCTTTTTATACTAAAGGGGCATTATGTAGGATTCTAGGTAAAAATAAAGCCCATGTTGTACCTGCCATAGCCTGATGCGAAGAATGAATGCTGCTGCCACTAAAAGCCTGTACATCATTTAAACTCAATTAAAAGTAGGGTGTACAGGTACAAGTATTGCATGAGTTTGTGACAGACACATTTCTGATAACTTCCACTTGTTGTCATGTAAACCATAGACATTCTTTGATGTAAAGAAATAACTAGCCTAAGTTCAAAGAAGAAAAAAAAATTAACTTAACCTACCCCAGCCAATTAGGATGTACCACCAAAAGTACTTCCTCTCTGAGAAGAAAGAAACAGCTAAAAGGGCGTGGAGGTAAAGTCCTTCAACCAACAGCCAGAAGTAACTCGCCATGACACCATAGTGAAAGAAGACCACTACAGCTTTGCAGCCCACCTACAAAACAAGCACATGTGTTAATAAATAACCCCTGTATACAGATAAAGAAACAAGTTTCCACTTCTGCAGTTTACTTAAAGTAAATAAGGATATGAGTAACAGGAACAGAAAAAAAGATCTCAATTCTTATTCATTCTTAAATTAAATTACTACAATTATGATTTGTTTTATATTACACTTCATATTGAGGGTTTGGTTTATTTTTTTAATAAGCCTTTTTAGATAAAAGGTGCTCAGAGCTTTCTGTGTCACTACAACAGAAGTGGCCTCTTATAAAGTATCAATGACCCACATTTGCAGCAATTCAGGCTCATAAATCACAAACTTTTAATGAGATATCTCCATATTCATGTATCTTTCAATATGTTTCAATGAAGACAAATATATCAAAAACAGGAATTAAGGTATTTGTACAAATATTGGGTCAGGGTGGACTGTAATGCAGGCAGAGCATTCTCTCTAGACATTCTTGTGCCAGTGTATGTTTTTTTAAATTGTCCAGGGGGTTAGCAGCTGTGTTTAAACCGGACTAAAGTGTGTGCTCTTAAGAGGAAATACATCTAAACTGGACCATTAACAAGCAGCCCTCAGAGACTGTAAAAAAGCTGATTTACAGTCTGCTGACTTAATCCTCCCTCGTAAAGATTAAGCTAGAGTCGTGCTGAAACAAAACAAACACCACTGTGACATTTGTGCATTTTTTTGTAATTATAAGTAGAATTTTTGTTTTTTACAAACTTTTAGTTGGTGGTATCGGTGACAAAGCTTTCTGAAGTAAATGTTTTGCAAACAGTCACTTTGACAACATCCTGCTCCACAGATTGAAAAAGCTCCACAGCGTATGACAAATAGTGTTACACCCAGGTGCACCTGACCCTTTGTACATTACATAGTGCAGCACAAAGCATTCAAGTCAGAGAAGAGATAGCTTTATTTAAAACTTCTCCCATCAAAAACAGGAAGTAGAAGGTAAGAGCAAGCATACTCACAGTGGCGTGGCAGTTTTCGGCCTCACCAACATCATAGAGAACAACGTCCTTAATAAACACAGATATGGCTTTGAGAATAAATGACACAAACAGGTGCATGTGGATGTAGTTTCTCGTGCAGTGCAGCTTCCTAGAAAAAGTAGAAATTATCAGTTGGAAATAGTGTGTAAAAAGTGTTAAAAAAAAAAAAACTATAAAAACTCCTTTGGAGAAGCATGTTTTCACTAAATATAAGCGTGATAGCAACAAGAACAATATCAAGTAATCCAAAACTATTGCCATAAGCTGTTTACTCGACTCTTATGAGATGAACTACATTCACAAAGTCACAACAATGTAAAACAAATGTGTGAACATGATAGGTGATCTTTATCAGCACTTACTGCAGAAGCTATGGCTGTGTTATCTGTTATCTAAAGGTCAAGTGACACATAAAACCTCTATCACACATTAGTGCGTGCTTTTATCATCAGCCATATAGTTATCAGGAAAAAATGAGAAAACATCCCCACAACCACAAAAAGATCCTTTTCTCAAAGGTCACTAAAGTGAAGTCTCTTTCAAGTGCATGGCTTCCCAGTGATCGTCTGATTGGTGTGAAATGTACAGAGCCATCAGGCCTGGCCATCGAATGGGGTGATGACACACTGCACCCCACAGCTGCAGAGCACAAACATAAACAGCCTGTGCACATCCTGTGTCTCAGTCCAAGCTGCAGCATTTCATAACCATCAGAGTAAACATAAGTCTGCTGTTTGGTTCAATAAAAGGCTTATTGCATGTCTCCAGAGCCATTCTTTTGATCAGAAATTATCAACATGCAGATACTGAACATGCTGAGATTAAATGTCACATAGAAATATGTTATCAACAAAGAGAAGAATAAATGTTTATGGACTATCTCCTGTGAAGACTCTGTTTAAAGTAGTCTAGCAAGATAATGTCAAATTTGGCACTTTGGAGAGAAAAACACTGTAAAAGTGTGAGAAGAGCACTGTAAAACTTCAATAAAATGGAGAAGGTGGATCCCAGAGCAAAAGTCACAAACATAAATGCACTAAATGCTGTAGTGGAAAGATATTTGCCCATCGTTTATGAGTCATTATAGGTGTCTTACCGAAATACACAGAGTATTATGATGGCAACTGTCAGGGATATGAGAGATACACTGTGACCAATGGTGTAGCCCACTTTGATGGCACCATAGAACTCGCCCTGTGAACACAGGAGGAACAAGGTGAACGTGCATACGTTTGGACATGGGCAGGCAGTTGCTATACCAACCTCAGTGTCATCCGTAGTGCTGTTGGGGTTGTATTCACAGTCCATTATGTAGGACTCCAGGCTGATTGGACTCCAGCCACCTTCAGTGCAGGTCTGTGACAGGTTTCCTAATGAGCAGAAGGACACAGAGAACATATCATTTGTACTTCACTTGAAATGATGTGTTTATATATAAGACCTTTATTTTATCAGACACATAAGTAAGCCACAACAAGACACATTTGTCCCAGTGGATTAGTCCAAACACTAAAAGAAAGCACTGTGCTGCTGGAGTTCAATGGTCCTATTGGCTCAGAGATATAAGGACATTTCCCCTGTGTATTCCCCTCCATCTGAGTCTTAATTATTCTCCAACCACACGCACTATCTGGCCAATATAGTCATCTAGAAGCCAGAGATATTTTTACTCGGTTGTGCCCATGGAGGAAGGAATGAGGTCCAAGTTCATTTGATGCCCATAAAGAGAGGCTTAACTATCCAAGGGAACAAGGAAGAAGCATAGGGAAAAATCTAAAGCTTAAATGTGCTTGACAGTGTGCTCTGATAAGCATTATGTACTTAGATACCCCAACTCAGCAGTATTTTTAACTGTAGCGAGCAAAGGATTTTTGTTTTTGTAGCTGAAAAATGGCTACAAGACCTTTTTGACCCTTCTTATATGACCTAGAATTTGAAATGTATAGATATTTGGAAGTAAATGCAGGGAAGTGGGTGAACATAAGGGTAGGTGACAAAAGACAGATTTTCTGAGCACTCAAGTCTATAATGCAGGGCAATACAAGATTGACAAGCATGAATCAAGGAAATACATCTTTGAGTAAACTAATGATGAGTGAAGTCAGTGAGAAATAGGCCTGGGATATATCATATCACTCACGATGTATAGTTTTTGCTTTGATATGAAATAATATTGTGATGTAATTTGGATGCTGCAGCTCTCATCAACACAGTTTTAACAAGACTCTGAAGACTCCACCGATGATGAAAACACTAATAATGACAAAGATTGGAATTGGAACTTTCAACTTATAACAAGTACAAGCATGAAACAAGTTATATTGCTATCTCATGATTTCCTTTTAATTTTCATGAAATACATTTTAATATATTGATAATAATATTTATTTAAAGCCATATAATTTTTTACGAACCAAGTGTAATTGTAGCAACCACATCCTTGTAATGATATTTAAACATTTCACAGGGACCCAAATTGTTGTTTGCCAAGTGACCTAATAAACACAAGGTGGCATAAATTAAATTCTACCATTTCCTCTTGGCGTGTGTGCTGCAGGTTACCACACGACATGATACAACAAAATTGTGATGTAAAAAGTCCAACTCCAAGTCTAGGTATTGTGGATTTGTGTTCAAATGAAATCAGTAAGATAAGACTTTGCAATTGTACAAATGCCATCACTGTGCCAATGTACACAGGTCACAAGGCGAGACAAATTCAATTGAGTTGAACATTAACTTGGCACAGCTCAAGGCTCCATTAGCACTTCAAGTTATCAAAATAAAGCTTTGCTAGCTGCTTGCTGCCCACAGGTATTGGTTACTTGGTGTCATGGTTGTAATACTTGGTTAGGTTATTGCCTTGGTAAAACAGCTGAGGCCTTCACTTAAAAAGCTTGAGAGTCTGGCATAAAAATAGCACTCTGTGAAAAGCTCTTGGCTTCTGTTTACAAATACCATATACAAATACAAATACCATGTTTGTGTTGTGCAGTATCTGATTCTTGTTAAGGGCTAATGTGCTAATATATGCAAAAAGTGCCCATTTTGTCAATGATTAATCCAATTTCCTCTTTTCCTACAGCTCTTTTCTGGAGTTATCTCAGTTGTAAACTTTCCTCCTGCAACAGTAGTTGGAATTATTTAGATCTGGCATACGCTTTACACCAGATGCCCTTCCTTACTATTTTCATTTTATCACATACACTGGCACTGAAATATTTTGGGGCTCAATTGCTGATTGCTGCCCTGTTAAACTTTCAGTTGACAACTTTTAGACATAAACAAAAAAATAAGATAACTTTATTTTGTACAGTAAGGATGGTCTGATATGGATTTATTTCAGTCAATATCAGATATTTGTCTTGCAGTGGTTGCAAATAAATGTTCTTATTTATTTTGTTAAAAGTTAAAGGACAAAATAAATTCACAAATTAAATAATTTTCATCTTTATAAAAATAATTACAAAATGTCTGCTAGTTGATATCATTTGTTGCATTTTTATGATGATTGTGTAAATATATCACCATATGTTCACCTTAATTGCTCTTTTTTTTTTTTTTTTTTTTTAGTTCTGACACTTTGAGACTGATGTATGAGCAAAAATTATCAGAGTTAAATATATTGACAATTTTCTTCAATACCAAAACAATATCATTATATAAAAATATATAAAACTATTATATTTAAAAAATCCACCAATATCACGTAACATTAGCACAGATATATTGTCCATCCATGGTGGGCATTGCATTGGCAGTTAGTAATAATGAAATCATTTTGTTAAGTTAATCTAATCCTGTCACAAGGTCTTTGTTATTTTATTAAGTCTTTTGTTGTGAAATATTTATTGACATCATTCTCTTATTTACTTTCCTGTAAGTGATGGAGCTACGTGTGTTGGCTAGAAACCATCTCTGCCCTCAATGCGGCCAAAGATATAAAAAATGTATGACATTCCTCCCATTGCCCAACCCTATCACTGAGCTGCCTCTATCAAATCAAGACCTGAGTTGGGAAACGCCAAAGTCTTACAATGTATTTTGCATTAAACTGGGCAGGCTGCAAATACCTGGGCGCCGCACTGCAGAGAAGATAGAGGCTTAGCTTATTCAAACAATATGACAGCACACAATGGTGACCACTGCTGTGTTAGCCACCACTGGACGGAGTGAGTTTGAAGGATTGCCAGAAGAATGCTTTCATCGTCAACCAAAAACAGGACTCCAAGGATTGTCCCGGCACGCACAACGGCACGAAGAGCTTAAACGAGTTAATCATCCACTCGTGTTTGGATTTTGTTTTTATGGCTTCATCTGCATGTTGTAGTTAAAATCTTTCTTATTATAGCTTAGGAAGAAGAGGGCTATATAGCATGACAACAGTAGTGCTCTGTCAAACAGGTTAGGAAAGTGGGCAGGCCCGTGTTATTAAAGGAGATGAATGGTAGTGTTTGCCTTAGACCTGGTAGGTAAAGAGTTCGTGAGAATGGCAAACTCTACTTCGACTAAATTTATGGCTTGACCCTTGAATCTCTCTGGCGCCATATTTCGTAAGTCCTGTTTTCTTGTATGCTGCGTGTGTCAATAAGGTTAATCTTTCATAATCCTAAAAGTCACTTAAAAGGAAATGGGACTACAAGTTAGAAACATTATAAAAACGTCAAGTTCCTATTAAATGTAAATCAAGGTAACCCCTTTCTGACCTGCAAGAACAGCACACATAACATCTCAGGTTTAGGAAATACAGGGTTTTACTCTGAAGTGAATTTGCAATGCACCAGCTCTAAGGCAGTTAATCATCGTTTAATGTGGTCCTCTTACTTGACCCGAAAACGGCGTACCACAGAGACTTGCTGATTTAGTGCATAATTGATATCGACTGCATCAGAGGAGCAGAACTTGTATCATATGTAACACAGGTTTTCTTCATTAGGAGATTTTGCTCCTTGCTGTTCTCGTGTGAGCATTGGGCCCAATGCTTTGACATACCAGTGAAATATGTACCTCCAGCTCAACCCCACCAAACTGGCCATTCCTCTTGCCCCTGCCCACTGTCTGTCCCCTGGGGTGCTCTGCTCACTCAGGTCACACTATCTCCCATCTGGGTCAAATCACAGCTTCCCAGGGAGCCCTCATCTCAGATCCTGATGATAAATGTCCAGCCCGATTCCCTCTTATAGCCCACATGATGGAGGGCACAGAGGCGAAAGGCCCTAAGCTGCAGAGGCTCTACACAGAAGAACAGGAAAAGGACAGCTCTGGACATGTTTGGACAACTGAACTTTTGAAAAAACTTAACCACTTTTTTGTGTACAGTAAATATACTTCATATGTATAAAAAATAGCCCCAATCCATTTCAAACTTCAGTTTGTCTGAAAACAACATGTCACACTATTTTGGAAATATATCAGTGCATCGATGACAATGCACATATAAAGGTGAAAGGTTCAATAACAATGTCTTATTTGTGAAAAGTCTCTGTTGTGGTTAATGTGGCGTAGACTACAGCAACATGTCAGGACAAGTTGTTTTTCTAAAAGCTTTTTGTGTGGTATGTTTATGTTAGGCACGTCTGAATGTTGACTGCATTTGGCTGCTTGTCCAGTTTTGTGTCAGCAGATGCACCCGTATCAACATTATGCATTGTTAATGTTATTAGCCAGATTGTTCGATGCTAATCAAGAAAGACCAAGGAGCAGAAATAATAAAAAGGGTAATAGTTCTATTAGCACTAGTTTGCATTTGCAGAAGAAAAAGCCTGTAAAATTAAACAGAAACAGACCAGGGTTCTTTGTTTCAAACGTATGTGGTGTGATTTCTTAGTGTAAGTATTCATTTGATGCTTACGTATTGGGATGCCCTTTGAAAAGTAGAAGAGATATTTCGGGCAAGGGATGGTGACTACTTCTCCAACTTCAGCACTGGGCCAGCAGGTAATCTTGTCCCACGTGACAGCACAACCTGGGTCACAAATACTTACAGTTATTTCGATTACAATTATAATTTAATACAACAATTACATATTTGCTAAAATCAGAAATCTATAGAGAAATATAACATTGTGATTTGTATATATCCAACTTTTACCTGAACTTACTGCAGCTACTGAAGTTAAAACAACAATTGTTCTTTACTAATGGTCTATTTTAGCAGATTTAGGTGACCCACAATCAGGTCACAGCATTCTGAAACCTGACAAGAATAAAGCTGACTGGGTGTGAAACAACCATCTATACAAAAACATTGTATCTTTTGCAGAATTTGACTGAAGTTGATTTAAAGAAAAAACACTGACTTTTGTGACTTTTCTGGTGGAGGGTTTGCCACCTTCTTGTCTCCATGCAAATGCTTTGTCTGAAATGTTCCTAAGTATAGCATTATAGCACACATCTATCTATGGAGAAAAGCAGATCATGGCACCAGGCCAACTTACAGATCAGAACTTAGAACTGAGAATCACAATAAAAATGCATATTTTCCATTGTAGTTCTACAAATAAAAACACTAACTGAATAAGCAGTAATTAGGTTTGGTTTATGTCTTACTGGGAAACATTATTTATTCAAGACTTTCTTCTGTCTTTTACGGTTGCTAAGATATTTGAGTGTCATCCAAGGATAACTTGTGAATGAATTCATTAGCACATTGCAGCCTAGTTAAAACATTACAAAAGAATAATTTCCTGTAAACAAACCTGTTGTCTTGTCCTCATTTTGAGCCGCACACAAGACACGCTCTCGTTCTATCTCTTTTTTTATGTCACACATCTGATTCTGCACTGTAAAAGCCTGCATAAAAAGCAAATGTTACAGCAATCAACAGCAGAATATTTTAATTTCTTTATTGTCTTGAATTGTTCTGTATTTTTTTCCCCACTCCACACTGAGCAGGCAGGTGAGAAAGTTTCAAACTTGGCAGTGAACTTGAATCACATGACAGGTTTTAATCCAGATGCCCTTTCTGCTGCAGACCTCTTCATGTTGACAATAAATCACAAATTGATTTGAGTTACCTTTAGAGATGGATTACATAAGCTAAAATGTTAATACCATGTACATGGTATGTAAGACATTACCTGTATATTCATATCAACTAAAAGAATAACACAAACAGAATTGCTAAATAATATGGAGAAAGAAAGTGAACTAGGACAAGACCAGAAGCACGATCAAAGCACAAAATGAGGTCTAAAAATATTTTACCAGGCAGTAACTGTATAGAAATAATGTATATGAAATGTCTTTCAGTAGCACCTGTTCCATAGTAAGAACCACTGCTCTATACTCCATTGTTTTCACACTGAGTCAGACATATGGGAGAATGCAAATGATCCATCCTGCGAGCATCCATGAATCACATAGACATTCATGCACATATCTAACATTAGGATGCTGTGATCTGCATGTTGTGGCTGTGATGCTGAGCAGACATGGAAGATTTATAGTCAGGTGTATACGTCTCCTCTCCATGGGCATTAATCAGACAACTCTATACTGCTATTGTTAGGCACCAAGTGAGACCAGTGTTCCCCCTGCAAGGTGACTCCCTCATTCGGCTTGTGATTTATCAGGCTCCTGAGGCAGAGCTTGCCCATAGTGAGTTGTTGCATCCACATCGCGTCAGTGAACTATGATTGGAGGCCGTATTGTCAGTGATGATAAATGAACAACCTATCAACACAAAACTTCCCACACTCAATCATTCTTCCCTTTCATCCTCAAACCACTTCTACTACAATGGATACCTCAGCTCTTCCCAGAATTCATTTCATCATTAAGTGTCCTAAAGATAGCCCCATATGGTATCTGGTTCTTCCAATACAAATGCATATAGGGCCTACGGTAATAAGCTCTTTGACCTCCTAGATTCCTGCATGAATCAGATGAGCTTCTCTGGAGACAGTCGCAGATGAAGACACTGCAAGGTGAAGCAAGGGAGCACAATGGAGTTTGTTGTCATGACATCCCACACAGTTCTCACCTACAGTTTCCATAGATGTCTTTCATAGTAAATAACGTAATGTCCCTTTAGATGCAAGTGGTTGGCAGAAGGACACTAAACAAACATTGCCCTTAAACTGAAAAACTGTTAAATGCCTTTACTATTGTGTGCACTGAATGTCTTCTATTCTGCAAAATTGTAACTATACCCCTCTAAATCCATTTAATTTATTGACAAACTATAATAAGAAATAAAATGGTTTTGGCTCAGAGTCTTCTTAAATGTTTTCCTCTGACATATACATTGCACTTCTACTTTTTAGCAGTTTTGATGTCATTGTCTATGTGAATTACGAATTATCAGGTGAAGTGAGCGGTCTGGTTAAGTGCATATTGGCATTTGCAGAAAGTACTTACATGTCTCTTAATTTCACTATTTTTAGGGGAAATTTTTTTTTTTTTTTTTTGGACAAAAATATATATCTTATTTTTTCTGTACCTGTGCAATGAACAGCACATAATGGGCTAATGGACTTTGGATAGTTTAAGCATTTTATTAGCCTACTTTGTTAAACCTTTTACCAGGTCTGATGATAACGGTACTTAGTGAAAATGGTACGCAAAATACATTTCATTTGCATTGCCTTTTTAAATTAATGGTAAAATAAATCAATGACAACATAGTAGTAGCCTATAATTCAGAACTGCTATTAAATTATTTTGACCAAACTAGGCTACATGGCACAACTTAATGAAACAGCGAGTTAAGAAGTGTCCCTATAGAGAGAAGTTTTTTGTTTGTTTGTTTGTTTAATTGTTTTCCAAAAGTAAGATAAATCATCATGTGAAGTTTACTTACCGGGTTCAGAAAGATACAGGAAAGAAAAAGAAGATTCTTATAAACTTTCTCCATAGTGCAAGTTTTAAAAGCACTGCTGTGATCGGCTACTACGTCTGCTAAAAGAAATATCAATAACTTAGACTGAAGTTAAATACAAGGATAGTCCTCCGCTGAGTTACTGTGCGCCCCTGCTGCAGCTCCGTGCGTCCTGCGCTCCGAGAGAAATGTGCACCCGAGCTCCCGCCTGCTCCCGAGCCCCCGCCTGCCTCCTCCCTCTGCTGGCGACGGGAGCCTCTGGTTCCTTACCTTCAAGTTCAACATTCAGCCCATCAGCCAGTCAGACATCACCGAACAGAGCTTGTAAAAGTGCGGACATAGACAGAAAAGTGACTAATGAAATTCTAAACGAAAGGTGTCAGGTATTTAGAATTAAATGATCTACGTTTTGCACAAGTTCTTCTTTTATAGTCACATAAACTGCAGGCGCAGAAACCTGTTGGAACCAGGATGTTTACCTCCACACACACTGGCCACGCAAACACATAGGCTAGTATACAAATGACTAAAGTTTAACAAAAAGGGTTAACATTAACAAACGAATGCATATTTATTTAGGCCTAATGGACACACAGTTGACAAATGTGTTATTTAGATTATGAAAAATGAGTGAGCATATCCTCTCAACAAAGCAGATACCAAATTGTAAAGTAATTTTTATTGCACTCCTTTCCCCTCATTCCTCTTAAGTCACTGCTACTATTTAGTCTCCATGAGCAGTACTAATGCCACAGTGTGTAAAGTTCATAGCATCTTCATAACATAGCTTCTGGATGCATGCATTCATAAAACTTCTCTTTTGGTCCCTATAGACTTGTTCACATCACATGCAGTTAGATAAGTTAAACCACAGAGGCTGTGTCGGAGGTGATGTAAACTGAAGTTGTATCTGAGAAAAATGTGAGTGTGAAAAACATGCAGCGTGGTCAGCTGGCTGTTGGGTCATCAGCGTGAACACATTTAAGCATTAACCTTGGACAATGCACAAACCCAGGCTTTGTCTGCTACATTTGCTTTAGGTGGCACCACAGACTGTAGAGAGGGTTTACGGGAGTGCTTTAATGATCAGGCTCTGAGTCACTGCAGCTTATAGGAGCTTTGATGGATGACAGAATAACCTTCCTCTGGGATGAGAGTCAAACGTTTGGGCTTTCAGGAGCTAGCAGATAAATCTTGAGGAATTTCAACAGAATGCTAAAAGACTCCTTTCTATTTTTGGTTTCCAGCCTTATGAGATTATATTTATTTCAGATGCCCTGGACTCGAACTATCACTGATGATCTAATGCAAACATTTTACACTTATACCAGAGAGTGGATGAATACACAGTGATATAGATATGCTCTATAGGTCTACAGATCTTGTCATGAAATCAAACTCTAGTCTTAATTAAAATTGATTAGTGCATTGTTTATTATGATAAGACTTTTTGGTTACCTGTAAACTAGGACTTTTTGGCTACTCGAGTGCAAGATTGAGACCTATGCATTGCTGGAGAGCCACTTGATACTCTTTTTTGATTAATCTTATGAATATCTTGCATAATTTATTGACATTTGTGTTGTACACATCGTCATACCTATAATTATTTCATTGTGTTGCCATTATCTCTTATTAATACATCTTAATTGCACATTTCAGTGTGAATCATCCTCCCTCACATCTCTTCTCTATGATAGCTTGAAGAATAAACTGATGTTAAAGTGCCTCTTTGATGTCCTGGAACACATCTTCTGCATCTGCAAAATCAACCTGCGTGAAGGTGAACTAGATGCTGATTTGAACTTTCAGTCATACCTCAAGTGTACACTATTATTTTTAACCAACTTAATGGTTAATAGCAGAGGATGAACTCATATCATAGCAGAGAATAACTACGGAGCCCGCCCGATGACATCACGATCACGTACGCGAAAAAAGATATTAAATCGTGGCCTCAAAATACTATTTCGTTCCCACAATATATAATTCGTTCCCACACTTTAGCTAAATCGTTCGCACGTTTTAGATATATCGTTCGCACGTTTTAGATATATCGTTCGCACGTTTTAGATATATCGTTCGCACGTTTTGATTAAATCGTTCCCACATTTTAGCTAAATCGTTCCCACGAATTAAGAAAATGCCGCCAATTAAACAAACAGGGCGTGGTGTTCGGTTGATTTGGCAAGTCCTTCTTGCATGGCTAGCTGGACCTCGGACTTCAGCAGACACAAATAAAGGTAAGACATATCATTATTTATATGATGATATAACCCCCCCTCCCTACTCAAATGTATGCTTATGTAAATGTAGGCTTATATAAAATCCAGGATCGTGTAGTAGCGTGGCATAGTGTGCATGCTATAGCTAAATAAAAAAACAAAACAAAATGCTAGCTTAAATACTAGTGAGCTAATGCTGCTTGCTTATAGTGGAAATGTTATGGAGTAAAGTGACAGTAAAATTGTCCTAATTGTTTACCGTGTGTTCATGTAGCAATAGATGCTCAACTGCTGCTTTTTTGAGGGAGCGTAACACAGAGGAGGGAGTCATCCAGACACTGAAGGATGAAAATGTAAGTTTCTCTGTTTTTCCACCTCAGAACATTGATCTCGTAACATCTATAGCCTACAATACAAGTGCCAAACACACATCCATGTAGAATGTAAGATACCGATTTGGATGAAATGCGAATAGACCTGTATAGACCCAGTGTTAGCCCCAATTTCGTCTTAGCGTTAGCCATCTATCACCACAAACTTGAAGACTTACAACCACTCAACTACACGTGAGTAACACCAGAGCCTGATAGAAATCACTGCCACATGTAGCATTGTTTTTGCATTGTTCATTGACGTAGCGATTAGCATCGAAATTAAGTTATATGCTAACGACCACGTAATAAACATTTCGTAAATCTAACGCTATGCTTGACGCTAAAAAATAAAGAAGGCCACAACAGTTTGACAAGAAACCCCTCAATTTATTTCATCCAGAGCCACATAAATCCTGCATACAGTGAACTTTAAAGACTAGTGCTTATTGACACATGTAAGTAGACCGTGTCCTCAGCATCAAGCACCTCACTCCTGGAATAACTCTGGTACTTTGTGTCAGGACCTGATAAAACTTTTGCATTTATTGTCCTGAGTATATATTTAATGAATACCTTTATACATGGTTATGCTATTACCATGATACAATGTGTAACACACGTGAAGACAGAGGCCAGAACTTGTTTGTAACATTGTGACTGAAGAAATAGGAGTAATAGGGCTACAGAAAGATATTGTATGCACCATCACGTTGCCCAGATCTCTCACTTAACAAGATCTTGATTCTTGCTAAAATATACATCGACTGTTGGTACACCTCATAATATAGAACAATGTACTAAAACATGTTAATGTAATAAAGTGTATTCTAGATAGTAGTGTCCTGTTACATGCCTCCTTAAGATATAAATTATTTTGCAATTTCAAGACAAGTCAACTGCTTTTGGAGTGATCTGACTGTGTGATGAAAGCAATACCATGTAGAAAAAAGTCAATGGGTGAAACAGCGACATTTTCATATTTTAATTGAACTTGTATACTGTATAGTTGACAATGGTTCTCAGTTTTATGCTATTAGTTATAGTAAGGTTTGTTAGAAACACTTTTCAAAATAGTTTTCTAGATAGCCAAACATCCACCGTTTAGAATAAATAGAAAAACTAGCAAAGGACAAATTCAATTTGTCAAACAGACTAAAGATTTTTTGAGTCAGATGATATATCTTACCTTTATTTGTGTCTGCTGAAGTCCGAGGTCCAGCTAGCCATGCAAGAAGAACTTGCCAAATCAACCGAACACCACGCCCTGTTTGTTTAATTGGCGGCATTTTCTTAATTTGTGGGAACGATTTAGCTAAAATGTGGGAACGATTTAATCAAAACGTGCAAACGATATATCTAAAACGTGCGAGTGATATATCTAAAACGTGCGAACGATTTAGCTAAACTGTGGGAACGAATTATATATTGTGGGAACGAAATAGTAATTTGAGGCCACGATTTAATATCTTTTTTCACGTACGTCATCGGGCGGGCTCCGTAGATAACTGTATTTTTTACAGCAGCAAAATCCAGGGAATAATATATTCTAAGAATGTAGAAACTCCATAGTCCTGTAAATTTTGCCTTCAAATGATCTTCTGCTTGTTTGTTTTTCTGAGACTTTATTGTTCCTGGAGAAATTTGTCATCTGTATTTGACCCATCTTGCCACCACTATCTGGGTAACTATTTCCACATCCTGAGTCATGCAGAAGGGGAGGATTAGCCTATATGCACATGTGAGGCTGAAACCAGAGTGCCAAGGGAGGATATGCAAATTTCACTCAGACTCCAGGAATCAAACCCAGGACAGTCTGCAGGAGGCAAGAGTGCAAGTCACTATGCAACCAAATGTTGCTGGAATGTATCCCAGCAACCAGTGGACAGGCAACCACCATTAAAGGTGCACTGCGTAACTTTTCTGGTGGAGGGTCTGCTACCTCTCCATGGAGATGTTGTTGCTTTCCTTTGAATTTTCCAACACATTAAAAATTTATTCATTACAGTTTTTTCTATTGTGTAAAAATACAATAATTCCTCCTGTGAATAGGGCAGACTGGCCACAGATCTGAATTATAGTGTATCCTATAATCTGCTTGTCTCCCTTGTGATAGATAGGTTTAATCTGTACTGTGGAACATTCTAGACAAAACAATAATATTTTCATGGAAACAAGCAGGTGGTGGGCCCTCCAGAAGAAATGTTGCACAGTGTAGCTTTAAATTAAAGTTTAGTCTTTAAAGTAGAGTATTAATTTCACAGAACATACACAGTCCTTTTCTGTCTTTTATTAAATCATTATCATGGCACTTTCTTCCTTCTACTTGAAACACTCTGATATTTGCCCTCAGTGGTCGGAGTTACCCATCAATCAAAAATGTTTTATCCCCTTTAAGGTCTCCATGTATCCCTCTTGCTACATGACACACAAAACATTGCAACAAACACTTTATAACAACCTATTTGCTAAAGTTTAACACCATATTTTGTCTCTGTCTCTATTTAACAGACGGACCGGAGGGGATTGAAGAGGAGAAATTTGGCATGTACACCCTATGACCTGCTTGCTGCCATGATGGTAGTATGCCTTTCATCTTCTCTTATCAGTAAAGCTTTTGGCTGAAGGGGCTGGCAAGACATTCAGGCCAGGCACACAAAAAAATGGAAGCTCTTGGAGGAAACAGACTAGACACTGACTCTATCTCACAATGGCAGAGTGGCTAGATAAGATATCAGATTGATCCCAGAGCAGAGTATAAAGTTGGAGTTATAAAGTTATATATGCTATTACAAAGTTAGGATGTTCCATTGCAAAGTTTGAGTAAAAGTTAAATAAGATACAATAAAAATAGATATACAGTTCTGCACTATGGTCAGCGTTGAAAGACTGTGCCATTGATTTGCATATGACTATGAGGTTAGACTACGTTCACTAAAACATTGTTAATCATTATATTTCCGATATTACAAAAACATCTTGTCTGATTTTCCCTAGTTTAGATGTATTTTATTTATTTTATTTTCTGATTGGACACAAGCAGCAGATGTGGTATACATAGAGGAAATTACATAACAGTTACATAGGAATGATCATTTTAATGCTAAATTACACAAAAATAAATGCCAGGGCCTTTATTTTTTGTTAAATTAGGGTTTAAACTGCCATAAAAATGTTCCTTGTTCATGCTACTTCCTGTATTTTTGTACTTTTCTTTTGCATGTTTTTCTACAAACTGACACTTTACTGATGTGATACCATATACTATCCTGCCAAACCAATTGGAAAAACATGAAAGTATGTCTAATGCACTTATTAAAAAAAAAAACATTTTGAAAAGGATACATAAACTGTAGGTATTGCACATATATTCATTAAAAACTTGATGTAATTGCTTGTTTTACTCCTGATTGCTGTTTGTTCTGCTGTTTGTTGCTAAGGTTACAAACAAGGAAAAAAGATATGGATATGTGGACATGCATTTTGAAGCATATATTGTACTACAATGCATTAGAAACCTTTTCAGCTGGGCTATTCTTGTGATTTGAATAAAATAAACACAATAGACAAAATGTCCCTGAATAGGTGGTACAAGAAAGGGAAGTGGGAATTGCGCATTCGAAATACAAAACAATACTAACCTATGTAATAATATTTATAGAAAAATGTTCTAAAGAGCACTGTCTGTAAAAGGATGAGAGCAGAGGAAATGAAAAAGGCTGATTGAAATTTTGCTTCAGCATTAGTCATTTGTGGCATGCTTGTTAATAAAAATATACAGTATCATTTAGCTTAACAATAGAAAGAAAAAAAGTAGAGCCAAAAGGTAAAGGCATGTCCAAACTATGGCCTTGGGACCAGAAGAGTCCCTAGGATGAATTTTCCTTGACCCTGAGGCTTCCCTTGAATTGGCCCAAATTTCTTAAAATATATATACATAAAAGTCTGGTTGCTCTGTGTTAAAGGCCCAATGCCTAAATTCATTACTGACTGTGGACATGGCTCTCCTCTTTTCCTCTTTGTCCGTGTTTGTCTGACACTTCATAAAAAATATATCCTGTATCCAAATGCATTACTTTGCAATACTTTGGACATGAGTAGTGGAGAGCCTATTAACAAAGTTTTAAAGCTGAAAAAATATGAGAGAGATCTTGGAGACAAAGTGAGTTAAAGAGAGAAAAAACAACTACGTTCCTTTGCATACAGACTGTTCACTTGCCCTCAGAGAATAATTACTCTGGCACCATCTAGTGGAAACAGTCCACAAAATGAATGCCATTGGCTGCAAAAATCTGACGCAAGTTAAGGAAAGTAGGAAGTGAAGTGTCCTGATGGGGCTTGTTTGTTTCGTTTTCTATTAGTCAAACCACAAAGCAAAAGTTGTTAATCATTCATGATACTCTATATCAGGTATGCACTTGACTTTTTAGATGAAATCAGTAGCCTCATATGTTTCACTGTGATATTCTTGACTTGGTTTTCTTGTGTTTACAGGTAACATGAGTGACTTTACAGTAAACCCTTACGCTTGGATTGGTATTGGGTCCAGTTTTGCTTTCTCTGGCCTTTTCTATCGTCTATACCAGGACAAAAAGAAAGAATTAGAAAAACTGAAGGTATGAATGTGAATGTATCCAGCAACTTTAATCAAAACATATCTGTAGGCTACTGTACCATACAATAAAATGCAATTTACATACGTTGTATGTTGATTTTAGGAAATACCTATATTCAAGCCTGATCAACATTTGCTTAGTGTAGTGAGAGCTTCCCCTCACAAACGACTCCAGTATGTCGCTGTAGAAGGTAGGCCTAAATAATTTCAACAAATGTCTGTTCTTTTTCAGTTTTTTACACCACAGTAACTTAAGCATGGCCATCTGTTTAAACTTAGAGATAAACATAATTATGTCCGTATTTTCCTCTTTAAGGTATGGTACAAGCTGATGGGGAGCCTATAGCCAGTCAGTACGCCCCACGATGCTCCGGTGTGATTCAGAGAATAGCAGTCGAGGAGCGCTGGAAATATTGGAACTCTTTCACCAGGACATGGTAATGTTAGACACCAACTTTTCTACTTATAATATGAGAATTTTAATAATGCGCAATATAAGTTTTTGTGGTGGGGGATCTGCAACCGGCTTGTCTCCATAGACAATTTGAGATGTTTATTACCTCAACTGGAATGATCCACAGTATGGCATTAAAGTATCCATCTACCATTTGATTTACATCCCTTTTATTGCTCATAAAATACTTTCAAAAACAGACATTCCTATTGTGACCGTACTCATACCCGAAACTTTAATGCCTTACTGTGAACCCTTACAGGCAAAGACAAACAAGTGGCAGACCCTTCACCAGAAAAGCTACATAGTGCACCTTTAATCATGATCAAATCTGAACATAGGAATTCTCGGACAATGAACAAGAAGGAAACAAAGAACTCTGTCCCCTTCAGCTTGGTGCAGCCTGGAGCTTACATCAACGATCTCTATGTCAAAGTTCACAACCCTCTGGAGGCATCAGGGCACTTTTTGGACAGAGTTTACCACAAGATAAAGCACGCCGAAGAGGATATGGTGAATATTGTACTGCAGGGCATCAGTGGAGAGAAACCTGGTGCACTGGTGGAGGAGGAGGAGATGTTGAAAGTGGGGAGTACACTAACTGGTTTTGGAGAGGTAGTCCTGGAGGGGGGACAGGTAATGAGGCTTCAGGCACCACAGGACGGACGCAAGTTCATCCTAGTCCCTGGTGACTACCGCAGCTTCATGGACAGACATGAGAGCTCAGCCAGCATGTGGAAGACACTCACCGCACTTACAGGAATCACAGGAGCTACCATTCTGGCAGCTGTCATTTACAATGCAGTTGGGGACCAAGACGGCAGATCTAAAAAGTGATTCTAATGGCACACAGTATTGGGTTGTTAAAGGTTCATCTCATAGATATTTCTTAATTTGAACTGATTTTTTTTTTTTTTGGAATCTTGTTTGGCTACGAGGTAATGGACTAAAGTCTAAAATCTATACCATGAGACAATATTGGAATTTCTGGTTTTAATCAGAATTTAGTTTTATTGCCACTGCCAGTGATGATAAAATAAAAAGGGCTCAAAACTGGATAAATATGTTATATTGTATTTTTTATGCAAATTGTTTTATTTTATACTAATCTCTTGAGAACTATAGATTTATCTTGCAAAGTATTTTTTACTTAAAACTGTGACTGTGACCACTGAATACTGCTGCTGTATTTTGATAGGTAGTCTTTAATAAACTATGGAAAAAAAACAAGAAACAGAAATTGTAACAGTCAGAAGTCTTTTTTATTTTCTATAATCAGATATATAGTCTTTTCCATAGTCCTTATGTGTGGCACTGAGATAGTTCCAGGTATTAGAAGCTCTTTACCCCTTTGTACAAATGACTTTAACTATGCTTCCTCCTCTGAAGACTCCTCTGCTTCCTCCAGCCATTGAATGAACTTCTGAAGCTGCAGAAGGAAATAAAGAAAAAAATAAGACTGTGGTACTAAATAATATCTTAACAAAATACACAACACATATAACAAAATTGATGTAATATTTAATGGTCTTACAAGTATCCAAATGAAATGACTGATTCAGCATACTGACCCCTTGGTTTTTGCGAAGCTGCCTGCTCTTGTCAGTGGTCGCTCCCTGGGAAAACCAGCGAAGAATCATCTCTTCCTCCAGAATCTCCAGCTGGTACATGTTCATTAAGACCTGTGGTGACCACAGCATGTTCACATATTCATTATTCTGTCTAATTATATTAGTTATTTAAGACATAATTTAGAACATCTAAAATAATAACCTTGACCATAGCAGCCCAGTGAGACTCTGCTTCGAGAAAGTGCTCTTCAAATGCAGACAAACAGTCCAGATGGTCCTGTGCTCTTTTTACATAGTTTTTAAACACAGGTGCCCATTTTTTCAATAACTGAAAAGGAAAATCTGTTTAATGCACAACTAATCTGATAATTGCATAGGATACAAATAGTGTTTCTTAAGGCTTTACCGGTAGCAGTAGAGCCACATATTGTGCCGTGGTAAGCTGTGGTCCCTGTTGTTGAAAAGGGTAGTCCAGCACCACTCGAGTCAAAATCTGCATGACCTCTTTCAGAGTGATGTTATAGGCATATCTGCAGAAGAAACATGGATAGTACTGAATATTTATCAGAATGTAGAGAAGATGAACAAGCATCCCCTTCTTACTTGAGAGAGTTGATTTCAAGTACAAGATTGTCACAGCCAATATTTTCTTCCAGGCCTCTTTGAAGTGTTCCTAAAACCTCCATTTGAAAAACTACAGAAACAGAGAATGTGAATAAAACAGCACAAGTATAGCAACATCATAATTTATATCACAACATTTGTTGTTATGGATATTGTTTAGGATTAATAAACAAAATAGCAAAACAATAAAAACCTTTGAAGTACTTTCTCATTTTCTCAATTCCTTAGTTGCATGCCAGTAAGAGGGAGTGCTGTCAAGTCTTACCTTTGACATCGTCCATTTCTGGGGAGGGGATCACAGGATCATCAGGATCCTCTGGCTCACTGGCTTCACTTTCACTCTCAGGGTCAGGATTCAACACCAAACCTTGCAAAGACATGCAAAAAATACACAACTTGCACTGATACAAATTGTATATATTCCAAATGAAAAACCTACCCCAGAGACAGTGCGCCAACTCTTCATCCTCTGTGTCATCCAGACTATTGGCCTTCCAGACGTAACCCTTTCCCTCTTCTCCAACTTCTTTTGGATTAAACACTGCAGGAACAGAGTCAATGCTTTAGTTTTAACATTCTTTTTTTACATCATTATTTTAAATGTAATGAATGAAACAAACCTTTCTGTTTGGTTTTGTCTTTGCTTTGACCAACTTCAGCATCATCACTGAGAAACTCATCATCATCTTCTTCCTCTTCTTCTGGGTGGTGCATGGACAACACAGTACCTTCAGGTAGAGAAATGTTTGGTCCAATAACCACCTATGAAAACAATTAAGGTCATTAGTTATGTAATACATGTGGAGTTAATAAAAATATTGAATAAAACTTACATTAAATGCAAGGACACACTGTTTATTTAGTGTCACACCATCTTTAACTACTACTCTGTCACAGACCACAGACTGATTGATTGTCACATTACTTGCAATGTGAACATTATTCCAAATGTAGGTGTGGTCTAGAATTACATTGTCACCTGTTTCAATGTAAAAAAAGAAAAATAAATAAATAAAATAATAAAACTTTTTAGCTTTTGAAAACTTTAAATTTGACCACTCAAAATACAAGCGTTGGTTTACCTATGGTGCAATTGTTACCAATGACACTGTTTGAGATGTGACAGTTGGCACCAATGCTGGTATCACAGCCAATCAGCACATTCTCCTCCATCTGGCTGCCGTGGCCCAGGCTCACTCCTGAACCTCTGTAGACGTTGTGGCGAGAGAATGTGCAGCAGTGGCCCTTGTGGTCAGTGAAGTTAGCCTCAGGGGTTAATGGGTAAACCCACCGCCGCACAAGATCCGATGACACAGAATCATACATGAGCAGATTGGATACTCGAACACCATAACCATCCTTGGTTACATGCATGTGTATCTGATTACCCAGGATCTGAATAGATTAATAATACATTATGTCTATGGAGAAAACAATGATGTAATTTGTCTTTCCGGAAGTATATGAAATTACCTACTTCTTCATTGACTAGAATGCCCCGCACAAAGTCATCCCTAGTTTGGTAATCAAAGTTATCTGTGAAAAGTTCTGCAACCTTAAGACACAAAAACATACATTTTAAAACCTGACAGTAAAAATTAATATTTTTTTCTGTCTCAGTAGAAACTGACCTGTGGTGAACATATACTGATGTGACAGTCCAAAAGATCATGTCGTATTTCAAACTCATCACTTGTACTGTGGAATATATTCTGCAAAAACAACGACATATAAACAAAATTAATGAAAGGAACCAGAAAAAATCCAATTTACAAAAACAAGCCATACCATACCATAGGAAACTGCAGCTTCTTTAGCCCTTGTGTTTTCTGGTAGTGTAAGACACGATGGGTCTTACTGTCCATAGCAACAATGATGTCATCCTCTTCACAGCGAGATCTGTGTCCTGGTGATGACTCTTTAAAAACCATTGTCATCACAGAAATGTTCTTCTCCATTTTTCTACGGTGTCTATTAAAATGTGTTATAAAAATGTTACTGTAGACTGTAGAAGTTCAAGAAAGGCTTAATTGTCATTGTATAGTAGATGTTTCACCTGTGTTCCTGTAAAGCCTGACTGACATCAATGTTTGAGACAACGTCTCCATAGATTAGCACAAAGTCAGAGCGCACAAGGGATTTTGCATCTACGTCCCTGAGCACGTCCCCCAGAGAGCGGTACAGCTCTGATGTGATGATGTGGACTGTGTTTGGCGACGTCGGTCGACACCACTTGGACTTACTGCCAGACAAAGAAACGTTATCGGATGATGATTAAAAACATATTTTACATAAATATCTATTTTTGATAAGCTTGCAGAGTATTTATTCTTACAGCAGGTGCTCTTTGATTTGGGGTGCCATCCAACAGCAGAAGACGAAGGTCTCCTGAACGCCGGTGGATGTGAGGAACTCCAGAGTGTAGTCGATCATGGCAATATTACCCAGAGGCAGCAGTGCCTGTCACCGGCGAAGAACAACAGATGAAAAGAGTTAGTTTTATGTAGATCTATTGTCTTCCAAATTAAAAGTTATGCGAAAAAGGCATAGAGTAGGCAAACAGTTACATACCACTTACTAGAACAGCATGGTATATTGAAAATCTCCCATCTGCATGTTTACAGCATGGGCACTGGTCATGGCATTGGTACAGTTAGCATCGCTATTAGCTTAGCTTGATGCTTACCCGAGGTTGGTCTTTAGTCACCGGGAAAAATCTCCTGTTGAAGCTATCGGCCACCAAAACGGCCTGAAGAGGATGCTCCTCATCCTCATCCCCAGTGGCCTTTCTGTCCGACATCCGACTTTGTTTTCCCCCTTTACCTGACATGATTGACTCCCCACTAACTACCCAACTCTGTCATCAGCAGACACTGATACGGCAGCCGCAAAAGGACAATTGCGTCTTCGCGAATGAAGTCACATGTTCAGCAAATACTAGGTAATATGACTGTGCTTATAATAAATGAATAGAGGCTAACAATACAGATACAAAGCCTTTAAAGTGCTCTAGTTAGAATTTTTTATTTTTAAATCAGAGGAATAGACTATAGACTAATGTTCACTTAAGAGCACGATGGAAATTGACAAATGTAGTAAGCTTTTGATGGACTCATATTTATTAAAGGTTCATGTGCATAAACATGCTATGCCTAAACAGATACAATAACAACATCTGGTTATTATCACACATTTAGATAATAACCTTCATTCACTGATCTGTAAAAGCCCAACATTTTTATGAAAATCCAGCTACTGAAGGCCTACTACTGATACTGCTTTGTGATCTTCCTGGCATGGTGTAGCACTGCTTCATATCGCATGGTTTTTGATGTCCATGAAGATGGAATTGCTCCAAATCCAAACTAAAAGAAAAAAATAACACATTACAATTTGAGCCATGACTGGAACATCCCACCTCCCAAAAGCTTAAAATAAATAATAATCAATAATACACCTATCACTATGTTACTGAGTTTTACCTGAGCCCCTAGACATGCCCCGATGAAGGACCCTCTGCTGCAGGTGCACCCGCCACAGCTCATGGTGTCCCTAACAGCCTGCTCAAACTGAGTGGCTGTGAGGACTCCATGCAGAGCAGCTTGGAATGCACCAGGCAAACCTGAATCACAGCATCAATAATATGAAAATCAAGGCAATAACAACAAAGTAAAAAAAGTTTTGCCATTTTACCTCATGCATTTGTAAACACAGAGGGGATCAGATCTTTAGGACTTCTAGATAAATGCTCCTTCACTTGCATAAGGTGTCCTAGGAAGAAACAAACTCTTTTTCATAGACATTGTGATATTTGGATAAGTGTTTTCAGCATTTAATAGGCAATTTAAATGGAATCACCAGACAAATCATATTGTGAGTCCCATGATGTACTTGGTCTGGAGCAAGATTAACCTCATTGCATACCAATAATGGCTCTGTCCAGATCTTGGGGGTTGTTTCTTTTTGGGTCACTGAGCTGACCAATCACTACATTGAGGGCATTGGGGTCAGGGCCATGCAAGATGTAATGCTCCAGGAACCTCAAAAACAAAAAACAAAAAAACAAAAAAAAACATTAATATTACACAACATTAAACAATTCTGCTGTGACCAAAAAGCTAAAAGCTACAGGAATGCTGCATGAGTGTTTACAAATGTGATGCTCTTCAGACTTGGGATCAAAGTCATTAAATTAAGTAATTCAGTAATTAAGTAAAGCTAAGCAAAAAAAGGGCTGAAGCACTCTAGGGATTTACAAAAATGTTAAATGCCTTTATTGTTTCATGGCAAAAGTTTTTGTTGAAAAACGCCATCCTGTTTTGACCTTACTGGGCCTTCATCAAGGCATTTAAAAACAAACAAAACAACTTTTGCCATGAAATAATAAAGGCTTTAAACATTTTTGTAAATCCCTAGTGTGCCTCAGCTGCTTTTTTGCTTCATAATTCTGTTGTTAGTTAAAATGCTTACCTTGCTGCTGCCAGAGTCTCTGCTACACAAGGATCATAATTCTGGGTCACACGGATAGCATCTTCAACTTTCTCCAACATTTCCGGCTTCCCAGCATAAAAAGCCACTACAGGAGCTAGTTTAGTTATTCCATCAATCTGACAGTCGGAGTCACAACCTGTGGTTCAGATACACAACATTATGAGCTGTTGTCTTCTCCTGATATTGTAGCCTCATCAGCCAATGCTCATCTACTTCACCCGTAATTTCTTTGCCTGCATCCAAATTTTTTAGGAAGCTCTTCAAACTTGCGTGCCTCCATGGTCCCTCAATAGGTAGTTGAGGTCTTGGGGCTAAAAATTACATTACATTACATTAATTTAACTGTATAATATTATTATATACTCTTTACTCTTTGTTATTGTAATATAATGTAACATGTGAGCTACTGTGTCCAAGTACTTTCTCTTGTGGATCAATAAAGTTTGTCTATGTCTATCTAAGTATAATATTATCACTGTATGATTACTACACTTTAATTAGCCTTAGAGCATGTTTAAGAGTGATTAAGGCATCGTGACTACTTAATGAATAACCCAAGACCTAAACTTTCATTAAGTAGTTATTAATCCTGAGTCATTCTTAATAAGCATTTTTTTTTTCATTATGAATTACTTCATGTTAATATTTTCATACTTTACTAAGGCTATTAAAGTGTAGTTATTATAAAGTAGTATCCATTACTACTTACCTCCTTTCTGCCTGTAAGGATCATTCTCAGGGATGTCATACGCAGACCCTGGTCCAAAGAATTTCAGTGTACGCTTTTTAAGATCTTCAACATCAAGACCTGTCAACAAAACAAATTAGGTGTGCAAGTCATTGTTTACCACATGTACAGTATAATAATGGTTTGCACCTCCACACTCTGACAAAGACTCAAGCAGGACATAGGCTTGGTCACCATAGCAGCTTTGTTGGCCTGTTTTCACTCTGTAAAAGGGGTTTGAAGATTCAGCCCGAAACTCTGGGTTTGGGTCCTGAGCCAGAACTGACTGTAATTTCTGCAGGTCATACACCCAATGGAGTGGCTGGGCTGTGGTGTAAAATGCCACATGAATGTCATTTAAAATGTCATTTGATATGAAGGCTAGCTACTGCAAAAAACAGTACTTTGGCCTCTAGGTTTGAATACCTGCTGCATCTGCCACTGCCGCTCCAACAATGGCTCCTATGGCTCTATTGGCCACAGCTGTAGCCATCTGAAAACATAAAAATAGCGTTAGGTCATTGATTAAATGAAACCGTCTCTAGTCTAAGTAATAACATTATAAAGTGAGCACATAGCAGACACAGCAGCCTATGTATTTTATGTGTAGTAGCCTATGGGGTTGTGCTATAGTCCAGTTGAAGTTGAAGTTGTAGCCATTATTGTAGCCCACGAATAGCTTTGTTACAAAATATAGGTTATTGAATAAAAGCTAGCCTACTTACTTCCAAATACTCGCTCTAAACACAGTACGATGGTTTAAAAGGAGGCGGATCTTTTGGCTGTATTTCCCATGTTTGTTTAATACCTTACACCAATGTAAAAGCTGGTTAGGCGTGACGTTTGGTGCTGTCACGTGGTCAGATATTGATCAGTGACTAGCGCCCTCCTCTGGACACTAATTGAAAGCATCACAAATCCGGTATAAGCCTGTTAATAATAAGCCTAACTTGTATTTGTATTGCAGACGCGTCTATATTGCCTCTTTATGTTTTATATAGCCTAAATACAAAGACTATACAAACACTGTGACACATAAACTAGGTAGGTCTATAGCACTGAACAGTAGCCTGTGTTCTTACTGGGTTAAAAATGTACAATCACAACGGAACCTATGGCTGCGAGTGCCTTAATTCGCATGTTTTGTATACAAGATTTTCTCATTCCCAGTAGGCTACTCTTACATTATAGGCTATATATGACCTATATGAACAGGCTATGATTCACGTGAAATCTTAGAACCTCCACAATTCACACACACTGAGCTGCAGAAACTGCATTGCACTGATGGGATGCAGGTGCTGGTGTTTAGATTGTGTAGCTTCACATCAGTGAGAGTCCCTTTCGGCTTAAACCAACTGAATTTCAGCACTGAAACAGGCAACCCAATCGTAATGAGAATTCATTTTAGCATACAACTTCGCCATCATGTCCAATGTTTTTGTAATTAAGAGTAAATCAGCATCACAAGTGTTGACAGTAAATGTTATTTTTGATTCAAACATCATTTATCTCATATTTATTCTGGAGGCATAAACATATCATGTATCTGAAATTTTAAATCAAAACCTTGCATACTGTCCCTTTAAATGTGAATTAAGAACCGTTGTAGTTTGATAGTGATTTCACAGGTGGAGAAGTTTTTGTACAAGTTAAAAGGCTACATGTCTTGTTTCAGGAACGAAGGGTGTGCAGGAGGAATGATATTTGGAGTATGTATTTATTTATAGCTTACCCCATTTCTATTTGTAAGATAATATCTGCTGAGTTCACATGCATAGAGGTGGTGGCTTAGCAAATACAAACTGAGTTTTGCTTGTCAAAATCTTTCTTTTTGACTGAGGGATAAGGGATGGACATTGGGTCAGCAGGTGCACCTCTCTTGTATCACTTTGACCCACAAACTAAGCTCTGGTGCCAACAGCAGTGCATAAGACACCAAGAACCCACCCTGATATGTACTTCTGTATACCACATTCATTATTTTTAGCTGGGATCCATGGCCCCATCTATACTAAATAAGGCAGCAGTAGGTCTTGAATTCCAAAATTACTATCCATAATGCTTTATGGTTCACTATTGTTTGTCCTCCTTGTGCATCCACAGTGTTGCACATCTCCCCTGTTATGTTTGAAAGGGGGCCACCTACACAGTACAAGTTACAGCATTCAAGTACATGTACACACAGCCACCACACCTGCCCCGCCTCATCTCTGGCCCGTGCACTCTTTTAGGGCTTACACCTATGACAGCTTAGTCCAACCCCTAGTGCACACTGTCCCTCACAACCACTGCCCATGGAGGGTTTTTAATTAGGTGCGTGCAAGCATTGGTCTTGCTCTCCTCTGGGTGACGCGGATTGGTAGGGGTTCCTCTCAGCTTAATTCAACTTTATTTAATTTTACTTTTTCAAAAAACCCTAGCCTCTGAAACGAGCCATGAAGTGGGGCTGGGTGTTTATGACAGTTGTACTGTTTTTTGGGGCATTTTCCCTGGCCAAGGAGAGCTTGGACTTCCCTGAGTATGATGGTAAAGATCGTGTCCATGACCTTAATATCAAGAACTATAAGGCCGTGATGAGGAAGTACGATGTGCTGGTGGTGTACTACCATGATCACCCTGGATCCAGCCACGTCGCCCAGAGACAATTTGAGATAGAGGAGTTGGCTCTCGAGGTAGGTCAGCATGTGAACCTGTGCAGATATGGGTTGTAAAACAGAATCTGCTCAGCTGTGAAAGTGTATTTCATGGAAAAAAACAAAACAAAAACAAAACAAAAAAAAACAACTGGCTGAATTTAAATTTAAGTCTACTCTGCAGAGTGCCTACTTCCATCAGAGATCTGTGTTGGTTGGCTCTGGTGAAATGAGCATCCATTCGGTGCATAACATCATTATGAAACACAAAGCATCCCATAAATATAGTGAATATTGAATATCAAATATCAGAAGAGGACATGTTTGCATTTCTGTCTGTGGGAAGCAAAGATTTATTTGACATAAATTGCTGATTAACTGATCCAAAGTGAAGACAGTGAAGTATGAGGACAATGCAAGATTTAAAGGCTAAATGGTAAAAACTGATGCTTGCCTTAGAAATCTACATGTACATTGTTGGCAGTTACACAGTTAACAGTTTACACAATGAAAGAGGTCAAACCTTTTTGCACAGGTAACATTTAGCAGTCTTGTTCATGTATAGCTCTAAGTAATTAATCCCTGTCAGAGTAAACTAATATAGACATGGAAAGAATTTGAAATCTGGCAGAAAACAAGTCACAGATCTGCTGTGACTGATTATAGAGACGATAGACTCTGCAGGAGTGTATCTCCTTGGCACATGACGTCATGTACAGAGCTGTTGTGCCTCTTGCTTCGGGTGGACCTGGGTTTCCGTGGTGCCAGCTCAGCTCGGTGGTGTGACTGACACTCTGAAGGACTGAACTGTCAGCGGATCTCCAAAGCTAAACATCACTGCCACCTCTCCAAAATAGTCCTTGGGCCTGAGTAGTCTGAATGCTATATTTAAACCAAGCTCCTTTTGTAATTCTGTGAGCTGTGAGAGGGCTCATGTGCACCCTTATGAATGTATGATCATTTGAAGATGTGTTTATTATTGCCCATAGAGAGTCATGAGATTTTGACTCCTCCAAGTCAAAATATGACTTGGAGGAGGAAAGAGAGCATTTTCCTCCTGATGCTGTACTATTCATTATTGCAGTCTTAAATGATTGTGTCAATACACTATATGGCTATAAGCCAAAATAAAGACAATATAGACATCAGACATCCAACTTATATTCTAACATGTTGACATAGGTGCAGAAAATTCAGAATTTCAGCTAGTTCCTGTGTGTAAATGAGAAGTGGTGTGACATATCATCACTTACATCATTTGAGTTTCATAAGCTCATAAACTCAAAGGTGTCAATAATAGATAATATAGCCATGTACAATTGCCTATTATTGATTTTATGCATATATTGATAAACTTATGTGTGAATGTTTGCAGCTTGTAGCCCAAGTACTTGATGAATATGAAGATGAAGATATTGGAGTTGGTCTTATTGATGCAAAGCACGACAAAGATCTTGCCAGGAAATTAGGTAATTCTACAACAACAATATGATGGTTCATGAGGTTTTTGTTTTTCATATGTCTGGTCTTCCTTAGGTCTGGAGGAGTCCGACAGCATCTTCATCTTCACAGAGGATGAAGTCGTGGAATATGATGGAGAGCTTGCAGCTGACACTCTAGTGGAGTTCATCTATGATGTTCGTGAGGATATAATCTCACAGTTAATAGCCTGCCTTATTTGAGAAAAAACAATATATATTCATGTTTGTGTATATATTCCTTGAAGACAAAATTCATAATTTTGATGTCTTCCTCTGTGTTACAATGATGATGATGGCGTCTGTAGGTTCTTGAAGACCCAGTGGAAATCATTGACAACAGCAAAGAGCTAAAATGCTTTAAAAACTTAGAAGAGGACATCAAACTGATGGGATACTTTAAGAATCACAAATCCGACCGTAAGAATCTCAAACTGATTGTAAATTTCACAACGCACTATAGACCTGATCAATATAGAGTCAATTAGCAACATCCTTTGTAAGGTTATCTGATGGATAAAAATTGTATTTCAGATTTTGAGGCGTTTGCTGATGCTGCAGAAGAGTTCCATCCTCACATCAAGTTCTTTGCAACATTTAACCCCAAGGTGATTTGCCAACATAAATGTGAAAGATTGCAGTAACATAATTATAATCCATTAAATGCATGAATCATGTCATGTTGTTTAAAAATTGTCATTACATTGTTATTTCAGTTGAGTACATTGATCTAATATGCAATAATAGTCATGACAAGTCTGGAACAAACTGAGCAGTTATTGAAAGACCAAGTGTAGCCATTAGGCTAACACCAGGGTATATGCTGCATCTAAAATCTACTATTTTCTTTACAGATAGCTAAGGCTTTGGAGCTTAAACTAAATGAGGTCGACTTCTATGAGCCCTTTATTGAAGATCCTATGGTAATTCCTGGTAAACCATACACCGAGAAAGAGCTGGTTAAGTTCATTGAAGCCAATGACAGGTCAGTGTTATTATCAATACAGTATGTAATATAAACTATGGTCAGCCCTTCAACTTGTTACTTAAATGTATTTTTTCAATTAAGGCCTACCCTGAGGAAGCTGCAACCACACAACATGTATGAGATTTGGGTGAGATTTTTATGACACTTACTGAGATAGAGATACAGATAGAATATGTTTGATGAGCTTTTTTTTTTTTTTTTTTTTTAAATTCTAGGATGATGATATTGATGGTGAACACATCATTGCTTTTGCAGAGGAGTCTGACCCTGGTGAGTTATGCCTATTTTCAGTCCTTTTTTTTCTTTTCATGCTCTTTTGCTACTTACAAATGTTGTTAATGTAAAATATATCATGTACAGCAATAGAAACAAACTAAAATTATTACCAGTGTCACCTCTTCAGAAATTTAGCTACACTGTGCACCTGTGCCAGTCCAAACATCAGACATGACATGTGAACAGACAGTTAGCTGTTACACTTGAAGAGAGAAGCTAAAGCAGAAACCTGGGATTAGTTTTAATTCCAACCTGTGTTCTTTCCTCAACAGATAGCTATGAGTTCTTGGAGACCCTGAAGGAAGTTGCTGAGGATAACACTGATAATCCCAATTTGAGCATCGTATGGATCGACCCTGATGATTTTCCTTTGGTAAGAAAGCAAAACAGGCCTATATGACAAGCCATCTAACCATGCATGCACTTTATAGTAGTAACTTTGTCAATTTGCATTACAGCTCGTGCCTCATTGGGAGAAAACCTTTGGAATTGACCTCTCCTACCCACAGATTGGTGTTGTTGATACTGAAGATGTAAGTATCACACTGTAAAACCAAATTAACAAATGTAAAATTGTGAATCTATTCAATGCATATATGTATTTTCTTGTTTCTTTTAAGATATCAGATCATATTGAAACTTGTCAGAAATAACTTAAAATAAGTGTGTAATTGTTGTTGTTGTATAAAGTGGGGCGCAGTTATGTCCTTAGGCAAGTATGAAAGTGGTGTGAGCGTGAGTGATGGTGGTGGTTGGAGGGGCCGATGGCGCAGATTGGCAGCCTCGCTTCCGTCAGTCTGCCCCAGGGCAGCTGTGGCTACAGTAGTAGCTTACCACCACTGAGTGTGGAGTGACTGAATAATGAACTGTAAAGCGCTTTGGGTATCTTGAAAGGCGCTGTATAAATGCTATCAATTAATAATTATACACCAATATGGAGATCATATAGGTAGAATTATGAAACATGTTATTAAAACATTTATGCTGGAATGGAAAATTTACTGAGCTCATACACTGCAACTGCAACTAAATAAATGCATTTACTGGTACAATTCCACAGGCTGACAGTGTGTGGATGGATATGGATGATGGAGAGGACCTTCCCACTGTAGACGAGCTGGAGGACTGGATTGAAGATGCACTGTCTGGAAAAATTGACCCTGACCATGACGACGATGATGATGACGATGATGATGATGATGATGATGACGACGATGACGACGATGACGACGAAGATGACGACGATGACGACGATGACGACGATGATGACGATGATGACGATGATGACGATGACGACGACGATGACGACGATGATGACGACGACGATGACGACGACGATGACGACGATGATGATGACGATGATGATGACGATGATGACGACGACGATGATGACGACGACGAGGATGATGACGACGATGATGACGATGACGATTACTGAATGATTTCGTCTTAATTTACTTAAAAATTTTGACCAATACAACTTCAAGAGTCAACATCAGTGACTGTCACGTTCACACATTCTTACGCTGAGTTCGTCTTTACGTCATCATCTGCATCTTTATTCCATTTTTGTTTGTCCCTTTAGTGCCAACCGTCCTCTTTGTAAAATAGGCTACTAAAGATCATTGTAGTCCACACTCATACGTTATACCAATGAAATATTTTTTATATCAAAAGAGGAGTTCTAATGTCTCAGTCCTGTGAAGTCTTTTACAGTATTCATGTTTTGTTAAACGTTGTATAATTTTCTTATTTGCCCCACAGACAAAAACAACGTAACAAATGTTGGAGTGCTGACAGTCCAATGGAACTGAACTATCGTCAGCCTCCTCTATAAAACAATGTAACATTGTATTGTGAATGTGATTCGCAACAAATGGATGTTTTATACTGTGACAAAGTAAAACAGTCAATCTATTTTTTTAACAAGAAATATTTTGGTTATACTGTTAAGTCTTAAATAAATAACATCTTGGACATTTATGCCACAACTGTAGAGTTTTTCAAGTGAATGTATAAAATATGTGCAAAGATTGCAAAAAAAAAATTTTTCACTGAGTAAATAATTAAAATATATTCATAGCAGGGGGCCATAGGCCGGTGGTCAATACAGTGAGTCCTTGGGGTTAGACATTCCTATGCTGCATACGCTTGTTGTATTTATATATATATATATATATATATATATATATATATATATATATATATATATATATATATATATATATATATATATATATATATATATATATATATATATATATAGATAGATAGATAGATAGATAGATATAGATAGATAGATATATCTATCTATAGATAGATAGATAGATATAGATATATAGATATAGATATATAGATATATAGATATAGATAGATAGATAGATAGATAGATAGATATAGACAGAGCCTCCAGCAAGACTGCAATCAGCAGAAGATGGGGTCCATGCAGGACACGAACCTCAGCGCAGCTCTTTTTACATGCAATTAACTTTTTTGTAATTTAGTGGCCATTAAAATACTTTGTTTACCAAAAGGGGGTGCTACCTTTCCATGTGAGTACAGCGCGTGCGCAGTCTTTAAACACGCCCCTTCTTCTTTTAAAGCCATGCGGTTGGTTTCGATGATAAATAACAGGAATCTATGACGAAAAGCTTTTTTCTAACATTATTTTGATCCCCCTCAACACGAAAGGAAGCACAGGACACCATGCAGTCCCGAGGCGTCGTGGAGCTCCAGCAGCAGGTGGAGACGCTGCTCGGGACTCTGGTGAAAGCGGCCGCGGTGGAGTTGACCAAACTATTCGAGAGCACGTACTTAGCCTCCACTGCAGCCACAGACACGGGCCTCAGGGACGACCAGAGCGGAAGTGTGAAGGCATTCTACCCTTTAAATGGTGCAGAGGGTAAACAAAGTATCGGCGTGCAAGTGGATGTTGTTGACTGTACGTCGACAGCTTTGCATGGTACGTGTTTTTTTCAATGGACGTCTTGATTTAATGCCCGATTTTAGGCTTCAATGATCTGCTTCAGCTAGCATGCTTTTGATTTCAACGTGTCAGCAGTCACTCTTTCATCTTATCAATGCACGTTTTGTTGCATGAATTTCTGCATGTTCTTAATGTTGTTTTCTGATGGGCGTTGCTCAGAAATTCCTGTAAAATGTGCACTGACCCCTGTTTGGCCCATCCCCCTTATTCTTGCAGACCCCCTCTTGTGCTCACATGAGGCTGGTCTTAAGGTGGGTGGCCTTATGCCTTCAGGGCTTCTCCTGGCTGAAGATGAAGCCTCCATGAACCCCCTCTGGTCACCGATGAATACACATCAGGTCAGTGTTAGATTAAATGACTAATCTAAATGTCAGTGCATTCTAGTGTTTAAAAATGCATATGTGAATAACATGTGTTTTCTTGGGTTTTAGGATGTTGCTGACACTGGAGACCTGTTGCAGACTTTTCTTCAAATTGACGCTACAGCTCCGAATCACTCCGAGTCAGAGTCACACATAAAAAATGACTCTCCGGGTGAACCCAAGGGTATGTCTTTCTTTGTATGTATTCAGTTTAACTTCAGGTTGTGTCTCAGTGTTCTGTCATATGAAGAGGATATCATGGCTCAGTGCTAAAGTAATTAAACATTGTAAAATAAAATTTAGAGTAAAGGTTTCTCACAATTTGTATTTATGTGCATTCCTCTTTTCATCTTTAAATTATACTCTGAGTCTGGAGGTTTAAAAACTTGTTTTTCTCCCCCAGCATCTTCAGACAAATCTCTTGAAAGCCCATCACGGTCTTCCGGTAAAAAGAAGGTGTATGTAATACAACCGAGCATCAGTGATGGCACATTGGATCAGACAAAGTTTGTTTGCCCAATAATACTCAAGACTCAGTCTTCTAACGCAGAGCCTGAGAGCTCGGAGCAGTCCATTCATATTGAGCCACAGCAAGCCAAAGTAAGCACCGCTAAAGGCAAGGCCTATAGCCCATCTCTGTCTGATGGGACAGTTACCCCTGCTCAGGCGGGTGTGTCTCCCCAAAACCAGCCCTTGATAAAGCTACAGTCTCTAGATATGAAGCTACTAAAGCCATGTACGGTACAACTGGTCAATCTGCTGTCTGTGCCCCAGGTTGGGGCTGTGAATGAAAAAGCAGGGTGGTCTGTACCCAGGGACCTTCGACCTCACCAGAGTCTTCACACGGGCCATCGTCTGTGCTGCTTCACAAAATGTGACAACGGTGTGTGGCGCCTGCAGAAGATTGTAACTCACTCTCGAAGCGGCTACGCATGCAGCAAATGTGGGAAAACGTTTAAGCACAGGAAGATTTTGAGGCGCCACGAGCGTTTCCACACGGGAGAAAAGCCCTACATGTGCTCACACTGCTCCAAGACATTTGCCTTGAGGAAGAGCCTCCGGCGTCACCTACGCTTCCACTCGGGAGAGCGGCCATACAGCTGTGCTCAGTGTGGGAAGTGTTTCCGACTCCGAGAGAACCTCAAGACTCACCTGCGCTTCCATTCGGGGGAGAAGCCATACTGCTGCTTGGCCTGTGGGAAAACCTTTAGGATCCAGAAGAACCTGGAAAAGCACACGCTGAGCCAGTGTGGCTTTTTTGTCCCCTCCTTCAGGACCATCGCTGGCTTGTAGCTATCACCACTGCCTCGTGGGACGTGCAGCTCTACCTCAGGGAGACTTAAAGGCCACTCAAGAATACTGGAGATCAACACAGCAGAAAGTTACTTTTTATAACACTGGATCATTCCTCCTAACTGATTCTATATCTGTTGTTTACATTTACTATAAGATCAAGATATGTATATGTAAGAGATATTTTATTTTTACTTTTTGTAATTTCTATATTAATGGCAACATGATAAACTCATTTATAATGTGGCTAAAACATACTTTCCTACTTTCTTGTGACTTGTATGTCTTTGTCCTCTTTTTTTAAAAGTGTTTTATAATAGTAATAATAAAAAAAAATCACAAACCTTAATTTAAGTAATCTATTTACAGATACTTTGTGAAATATATGATATTAATTAAGGCTATGTTTTGGGTAATGGTTTACCTACAATCCACAGGCCTTTTTTATTTGAGATGCTTCTGAAATGACAATGCTTATAACGCAGCATTATACAAAGACAACATTCAAGTCAGCAACTAAATGACACTGGATTTCAGTGCATGGGTCCATTTACTGTAAATGTGGCACAACCCTGATATGTTCTCAACAGTCAGATAAAGCTGCTGTTATCATAGCTGCATTATCATTGTGCCGTCTACAGTACAGTCAGGCTTTTCAAGTTCCAAGGATTTCCCCTTTTCATTTTTATGTCTTAGAGATGTATGATTATGAATACCTTGTGAGTTTAGCCCCAACCTCTTTATTTGGTCAAGGCTGGCTTTATTAGCTTTGTACTCATAATAAAATGACATTTTAGTTTTTTGTTTTTTTTTTACAGTGTTTATAGAGCACTTTGTACACTAGCCTTGTCACGTGGCTAGGCCACGCCCACCAGGAAGTGTTCATATACACATCAGTGCTTTCGATTTGCGCCTATGACACGCGCCCGTGCCTCAAACCGCAACATAGAAACTTATTTTGCAACCAACGCCTCTTGGTTCACGTTAAATGGTAAGTTTCTTCATTTTAACTGTCTATAGACCAAGAAGTTGTAATTGCCTAGCACAATTAATTTTAATACTATTTAGTTCTGTACGTTGACTAGACTAGGCGGCCAATAGTTTATAGTTAAATTCCTGAATTCTCTTTTGGGCTTTTTTTTGATACATTTTAGGACTTTGAGGTATTTTCAGTTAGTTAAGTGAACTAGCTTCCTATAGGTTACAAAAAAAAAACATAAAAAGTGAGTCAGTAAGCCATTCATAGACCTTAGTCTGTTTTAGGTGTAAGCTCTTGTATTGGATATTAATGTACAGTAAAGTTGTTGAAAAAGTAGCATCCTATAGATGTAAGATGTATTTTTTCTATTCAGTGAATATCAAGCTTTTTCCTCAGTACTGGCAATCAGGTTTGAAATAGTAATCTAGTATTGTGACAACATTCTGTCAGAATTGTATGTGTGGATCATTTTAAAATGATCTGAAATACATTTTTCCCTGTAATTAAGTGGGATATTTCTGAGCATGCAAGACAGAAGTACACATTTTCAGTACCAGTTAATTATATTGTGTTTTCTCTGTGAAATAAAGCTTGGGGACCATCATGGCGAACCTGCCTGAGAACGAGAGGATGCAGCTGCAACAGTTTTTGACCTGTCCCGTGTGTCAGGACATCTTTAAGGAGCCTCGGCAGCTGCCCTGTGGACACAGCCTGTGCCTTGACTGTGTGAAGAGGATGATTGCTCACACCTCAGAGATCCCCTTTCGCTGTCCGGACTGCAGGGCCGACTTTGGAATGGTCGTAGGAATCCAGAACAACTACATCCTGTCTGGTATTGTTGAAGAGTACAGGAGCATGAGTAATGTAAGTAGTATCCTCTGGAGATGGGTGATAAACAGATGGACAAAATAATATGGCATTTGACAATATGGAAGTTAGCACATTTGCTATACTTACACTATAATTACAGATTAATATGCACTTTCATGTTTCATAAATAATGCGTAGATCTATATTGGTAAAACTTTTACAAATCAATAAAAAAAAGTTTCAGAAAGATTATAATTCTTATACAAAAGTATAAAAAATTAAAATTTAATTTTGTAATTTTAATTTTACATTTTGAGCAGTACCATTTTTTTAAAGTCACATTTTATTGTTCTAAAGCACCACAAATATTTGTTAAGGTTTTATTATTACACCACAATATTTTTTTTTTTCTGAATAGTCACTCAAATAAATGCTAAATAATTAGATTTATTTGTCAACTGACAATGCTTTACTTGAGTAATTAGTAATATTATTCATCAAGTGTTGTATTGTATTGTATGTATTGTAATGTATTTCATTCCTTTCCAGGAAGTAGAGGAGAAGAAAGTATACTGTGATTGTTGTCCTGACAACACCACTCTGGCAATTAAAACATGTCTGAAGTGCGAGGTGTCCATGTGCCAAATGCACGTGAGATCACACCAGGAGCTGCCGATTTACACGGGACACCCTTTGGTTCAGCCCCTCAGTGACCTGCATGAACGGAAATGCCCCCAACATGAAGACCAAGTGCTCCGATACTACTGTCGAATCACCAGAAAGTACATATGCAACCTGTGCTCCCTCAAAACCAAACAAAAGGACCTTGCTACACAGACTTGCAACGTCATGAAAAAGCAACTCACTGTAAGTATTACAGTACACAATGTAGTGCAACTACTCCAGTTTCCCAAATTAACCTAAAACATGCATTACTAACTGACTTCCATTTTAAAGGCTTTAAGAGTGAAAAGAAATCCCAGCCTCACGATGCACTGTGGGTTTAAACAGGGTGGTGCAATTAATAACATTATAATTGAATCATTACTGCAGATTGCTATTGCAGGGTTGTATTTTAGGCATAGTATTGATAAAAATCGCATATTGTTTATGTGATGTTTTTATTGTTTATGTCTCTTTTTTGCTGTGCAGCTTTGTGATAAAATGTATTTTGGCATGTGTTTTTGAGTGGTCCACATAACTACTAATGATTGTTGAAATGATTAGTTTAATTGTCGATTATCCAAATCCACTGTATTTCCATGATTTCCATGTTTTAGTTTGATCTTTTATTGGTCATGATTATTTCAATCAAACCAATTCAATCAGCCCTACTCCTGACAGTTTGCCCCTGCAGTGTTGAAGGGTGGGTCAAATGCACATACAGTACATCTGCTGCTGGGGGCAAACTCTGATAGCAAACAGAATATAAACCAACCATATAAACATTCTTCAAAGCATGCTAAGTTAAATTGCTACACAGTTGAGTCTGATAAATACACTATTAAAATACACCACCACTGTCCAGTGCTTAAGAGAATGTGGTATGGTTGGAGACCACACCCATATTTTTTTGGGACTGCCCAAAAATAAAAACATTTTGGGAGAGTAACAAGGAGAAAATCCCAATGGACCCTCTTTTATTTTTGTTCGACCTGTATCTTAGGAACTCACTCACTGAGATTCAACAGTACATACTACATGTACTTTTGTTAGTGGCAAGGAAAATGGTGTCCCACCATTGCTGAATGGACACAAAAATTATGTATGTCTATCAAATGGAGTGTCTGACTGCCAACTCCAACTAAAAGTGGATAGTTTTTTATGTCAGTGCCATCTTTATTTGATTTGAGTTTTGTTTTTTTATTTGTATTTCTCAGCTGTCTACTGTGTTTATTTACATATAATTGGGGTTTAGAGTTCAATCTCAAAACTTGTTATTGTTTATTACAATGTAAATTGCCTGCTTGTTTGCACTTTTGGCGATTAAAGCGATAAAGTGATTAAAGAGAAAATATTGAGATTACTATAATCAAATAGTATTGCCATAAAGACTTCCTAATGACAGCAGTCCCAAGTTTATTGTTAAACTGTGAGTATATTCCATGAAGTGTGCATCAGCTGGATTTTCTTGTTCCATAATGAAAGTGAAAATGTTTTAGTCTTGCTGTCGGTAATTAATTTATCATGTTTTTAATTGTTAGGAGTACATGGATGAACAACTTAAAGTACTTCAGGAAAAGCTGTCACAGTCTACATCTTCTGTTAATCGTCTCCAAGAAGAAATCCATCAAGAAGTGAGTTTCACAGTACAATCAAACACGTGGGTTAATAATATATTATTATTTATTTTCTATTTAGTTCTATTATGAGTGACTAAAGCAGATATGGGCTTAGGTAGGTTTACACTGGATTCACCTTAGTCCACTCTGCCCACTTATGCATCTGACTGCTGCTTATTGACCCCCTCATTTCAACATTTTAACTAGGGAAAATGGTGCTAAATATATAATATAAAATAGGATGATTTGTGTAAAATGTTCACTCTTTCTCTGGGTGACTTGACCTTTGTAAATGTGCAGTTTTTTTTTATTTCAATTAGCATTCATCTCTAAAACGTGTATGTCTTTTGATGGTGGCAAATACTATTATGTAATTTGTTGTCTTACTATCCTGTTTTTTTTTGTTTTGTTTTTTTTAAACAGAGAAAGAGAATGAACTCCCTTGACTCCTGTTTTAACAGTGTCACAGTGGTCCTACTGTGTTTGTGGTTCATAGTTCTGTATTATGGTAAGTATAAAACCAACATCATCTGACTGCTTGACAGAAAACAGATTTTAGCTGTTTCCTTTGTTTTCAAACAGCTTACAACTACTCTTCAGAAAATCAGAAACTAACTGACAAGTGGGAAAAGCAGGAAAAGCATGTGCAAAAAATGTACTCCACAATAGCAGGTGGTGATTTTCAGTGTTTCTTGTTTTTTTTTTTTATAAGTTCACCTAAATGGAATAATGGGTAAAGTTAATTTTTTGTTTTTCTGCATAGAACTGAAGTTGGATCAGGACTATTCGTGCAGATGGCAAACTCCTGTACAGAGTCACGATGAAGGTAAAAACATTACAGAGCAACAGTGGAATTAAGGTAACCTCTCCAAACACATTCCACCATTAGAGATACATGTAGAACACCCCCGTCAGTGCAAAGTATCAATACTGATTGATTCTTCAGCTTGTTTTTTTAACCACAGTCTTCACTCTTTATGGAAAACATTGCATCTATTCTTTCAGAAAACCTGATGCTGGACCTGAACAGTGCGAGTCCTTACCTGCAGGTGTC